GAGTTTCACTCCGGTTTCCCTGCCACAAAGCTCCAGAGCAAAACTGAGGAGGTCAAAAACGTCTTTTGACCCCAGTGGCTGTGGATCCCCAGTACGTCTGTCTACCTTATCCACATCTTGCCACTTCTACAGACACCTCAAGGCCTTTCAGAACAAAGAACAAAAAGTAAAGGCAAACAAACACTTAAAGCAGATGGACAATACAGTAAGACATTTACCCATGGAATGAAGCTCTCCAGGGAGTCCTAGAGGTTCTAGAGGGTTAGGGTTAGGGTTCCCGGTTAGGGAACCAAATGTTGTGCCAGGATCAGAAGACCCTCGGAGACCACCAGGAGACGACTTGATGCAAGAGTAAGAGTGCTTTATTACGAGAGTGATCGCACTTGGGACCCAAGTCTCACTGACATAGCAGTAGAGAAGTGGGACCCTGAGCTCTGGTGAACAGGGTTTTTAAAGGGAAAAACCCAAAAGCAGGGGGTTCATGCCTTGACGTTACGGGATTGGGTAAAATCCATAGGGGTGAGGTGACCTTCTACATAATCACAATTGCCATTCTTTTGAACTACATCTGGAACATTGGGGAGAACTTTTCCAACCAATTCTCATTGATTATTGCCAGGGATATTATCTCTATTTTCTATCAAGTATTTATTTTCTGATATTTCCTGGAGTCTGTTGCTAGGAGAGTTAACTTTGTTTTCTGCCAAGTGTACATTCTGTGATATTTCCTGGTAGGTGAGTTCAGCTCCCGGTCAAGATGGCTTCTCATTTCAAAATGGAGTCACCCAGGCTAACTTAAACTCTTCAACAGAAGGGGTTGGTGTCTGTGGAGATGAGTCTGGCTGCAGTCCTGTCAGCTTAGCTGCAGAGATAGGATAAAATTAACCTCTCATGTCAGCACACACGTTACACTATGGTGTTTTCATGGACAGGTGTCACTTGTTTTCTGCCCCTGTTTTTTATTATCTATGTTTCATCCCCACCTCCCGTAAGTGTTTTTATTGATCAGCATGGTGGTCATACCTATAATCCCAATACTCAGAAGGCAGAGGCAAGTGGATGTCTGTGAGTTCCAGAGCAGCCAGAGCTACAAGTTCAGTTCTCAGCACCCTCATGGTGGCTTAGAACCATCTGTGACTTCAGTTCCAGTGAACCTCACAACCTTTTCTGGCTTCCTCAAATACTAGGCATGCACACAGTATATAGACATACACACAGACAAAACACCCATCCATTTTTAAAAAGTCATAACTTGCACACACACATACACACACACACACACACACACTTACGCACACCTGTGTAAATTTAAATCTAAGATCCTTGGCTGGCTATGACTCAGTGGGTAAGGATGCTTGTCACCAAGCCTCATGACCTGAGTTTGGTAACCAACATACATGTGGTGAAAGTAAAGAACCTACTGTTGCAAATTGTGCTCTGAGCTCCATGTGTGTACTGTGATTACACCTCCTAAAAATGTAAAAAAATAAAAAATAAATCTAAGTTCTCTTATAGAGAATGTATAGTGTTTATCTTTCTAAAATTTTTTTTCTCACTATGGTGATTTCTACCACAGCTCCATTATCATTTATGGGTGCATTGTGTATTGTGTATAACCCCTGGACTTGTGGTTACATTTCCCAAGTGATTGGGAAGATGGTTGATAAGCATGTACCATCATACCTTGCATCACATCTTATAAACTTATAAATCTTATGAACTTATATGGATAGTCACTCACTCATTGTGTGTTCGTGTATGTGTGTGTGTTCGTGTGTGTGCCTACCACACTATACATCCTATGGTGGGTGTCTGTAGGTAAGAAGATAGTAGTTTGCTGGAATTGGTTCCTTCCTTCCACCATATAGATATCTCTCTAGGATGGGAACTCTTATCCTCAGGCTTGGCAGCAGGTACTGTTACTTCCTGAGTCATCCTGCCAGCTCAGCTGTCCTCTTTTGTTAAGGAAGCTGCCTTCTTTAGGAGCTTTGTGAAAACTTAGGTGGCTTTGGTTGTGTTGGTTTGTTGCCAGAACCTCTGTTCTCTTTGATTGATTACCAGGTTTCTTTTTTTGGCAGTGGCTCTGTGGTATAATTTGACAAGTACTGTGACAGGCCTGGCATTACTTCTAGTCAGGGTTGTGGGGTTTTTTGCCATGTAAACTTTAGGATTATTTTTCTGAGTTCTGTGAGGTATGTTGTTTGGTCCTTGATGGGAGTTGTATAGACTCTGTGAATTGCTTCATGACATTTGCTACTTCCACAGTGCAAGTCACCTGGCCCTGAGCGTGAAGGGCCTCCTGTGTTCGTGTGCTTCTTAATCTCAGTTTCCTCCACGTTTTGAAGTTTTCATAGTGGCAGTCTCTCACATCCTTATCTATATTCCTCCACTCCAGATTTTTGTTGGTGGTGGTGTTTTTGTTTTTAAGCTATGAGAACTGGCATTTTTTTCTCTCCTAATTTTTTCTTTCCTAGCAAATTTGTTATTGACGCATAGACAAACACCCGTAGGTTTTGTTGTCTTGCTCCCTCACTGGAAGCATTTATATCAGCTCTAAGCGCTGTCTGGTGCAGCCTGCAAGGTGGTTGAAATGTAGAATCATGTCGTCTACAAGTATGGATGATTTGACTTCTTTATTTCTGTTATGTCCCCTTTTTTCCTTTCTCTTCTGCTCTGGCTAAGACTAGGAGCACTAGATCAAGTGAATGTGGAGAAGTTTGCTGCTTTATTTCCTTCTGAATCTAGCAGTGAGCACCACCTTTCTTACTCTTGGTACACAATCTGTTTGAGCCAATCTGTGGTCCTTTTCAGCGCTTGTATTATGAAGAGATACTGACCTTGTGCTTTTTGTCTTGGGTCTTTCTGTGTTCTCAACTACATTTACACTTAAAATTATTATAGGGTCTTTTGCCTGGTTGAGCCTAGCTTGCATGCTGGGAATGACACCCTCTTGGTCCTGGTATATGAGCTTCTTACTGTTTTCTTCCTTCTCCTCCTCTTCTTCTTTTTCCTCCTTTTCTCATTTGTTTCTCAAGACAGGGTTTCTCTGTGTAGCAGGCTTGGCTATGCTGGAACTCTCTTTGTAGACAAGCTGGCCTCAAACTCACAGAGGTCTACCTGCCTCTGCCTCCCTACTACTGCAACTAAAGGTGTGCTCCAACATGTCCAGCTTTCATTGTGTTCTTGACTTCAGTTTTCCACACCTGACATTTCTGTGTCTATGTTGATGAGAGAGATTAGACTGTCTCTTTCCTTTGCCATGTCCTTATTTGCTTAGATCAGGGAAATGCTGGCTTTGTGTGAAACAGCTGAACAGTATATATTGCTTCGTGTTTCAGAGCTATGGTAGGATTAAAATGAGTGCCACCTGGAGGACATGGTGCCTGCACGTATAGTACAAAATGAAGGATGGAGTGAATGAGCCTGCACACTGCTTAGACCCACGGTTAGCCCCACATCTGAGAAGCAGTGCCAGGAACAGTTCACACCATCCACGTATTCACACAAACCTCCCCAGCTTGTCCAGAATAAATGCTGTGGTGCAAGGAACAAGCTTGCCGTTCTCACGGGCAGGCAGCCTCTCCACCCAGTGCATTCCTGCCGATTGCTGAGCATGTGTGATGAGCTGAGAAAGTGGCATGTCTGGTTCAGCAGATTAGGATTCAGGGCCCTTCTGGCTACTTGGAAATGGTCAGGAATAGGAATCCAGGCCCTTCATCCTGAGACATATGCAAGACAGACAGACAACTGCTTTTAGGAGACTCTGGCTTGGGGTGGTGTGGAACAAACTGGTGGACATGAGAAGGACAGATTGAAATCTCCCTAAAGCTACCACACTGGGCTAAGTCTTCATAAGATTCAGAGACAAGTGCTAGGTGAGGTACTGGGGTCACATGACCTCTCAGTTCTTTGCTGTTCAGTTCAGACCACTAGAAACATTTATATTGGATGGACATGGCACATTGAACAGAAAACACTACATAGGGAATTGAATAGAGATATCAGAGGGGACAGTTGTCCATCAGCTTCAGCTACAAGGATGTGGCCATCTACTGGACCTCCTGTCCTTGCACCACAGGGCCACTGTGTCCCTCCCTCTTAAGCCCTCCAGATGCCCTACGCCCAGCAAGATGGACAGCCAACACTAAAACTGCCATCCACCTTCTCTCCCACTGTCTATGCCCTCTGACCCTTACCTTCATGTTTTATTTAAAATATCCATAAGTAGGCTTTTGTTTTGGGTAATGATAAACAGACTTTTATTTTGAATAATCACACTTAGGTTTTGTTTTTTCAATAACATTGCTAAAGAACAAAACATTTCACATGTAAATTAAATCTGTAAGCCAAAGGTATATCCAGCAATTCATTTCCAGCACAGTTTTAAATGAGATCATTTTATAGCTAAGTAAAGGTTAAAATTCTACAATGTAATACTGAGGCTTTGGGCCTGGAGCAATGCCCAGGACTCAGAGAGTTGGTTGTATTTTGTCACACAGGAGTACACGGCCCAAACGTGGGGCCCCACTCCACATCACGACCCACAGCTCTGCAAAGCAATGCAGCCTCAGCCAGGCACAAATGCAAAGAAGGCAATTCCCCAAATAACAGCCTGCACCCCCCTAAAACTCAGAAGCTACTACTGTGAGATAGGGTGACTGTGTGGAAGGAGTTACAAAATGCACCCTGTTGTCATGAAGTCCACACTAGAGCAGGAATTGAGCACCAGAGTCTACACTGCAACAGGGAACATGAAGGTATAGAGTCTAAAGAGCAAAGCTTCCCGAAAGCTGTGAAACTTGCAGTTAGGGTAGTCCTTCGGGCTGCTGTGGGGGGGCCACGCCTGAGAGACAGTCTAGGCCAGGCCCCCTCTGCCCCTCTGAGAAGCTCAGCCCTCCATTCCCTTGGCACTTCTGTCCTTGCATTGTCTGAAAACATCTTCATTCCTTGTGTAGTGCTCCCAACTTCAGCTCCAGTCTGCTTCCTGGACATGGCAGCCATTACTTTGGATTGGTTTTCGGCCTGGCACCCAGTAGACGGCTCTGTATTGGCTGAGGAGCAGCCTGTGGTTTAGGGGTGCGGCGCTCCCGCTGCTGCAAGCGCTGCCTCCCTCGGGCCAGGGCCTCCAAGTACCAGTGCTGCTCTTTCCACTGTTGTTTTCGCTGTTCTAGCTTCTGCCTTCTGGCCTCCAGCTCAGAGAAATCCTGATCCAGCTGATGGAGCTGTGTCTGCAGCTGCTTACTCTCAGCATACATACCCTTGCAGAAGTCCCTGAAAACATGATTGGCCGTAGTCTCCAAGGCCTTGGCCTTCTTCTTTAGCTTCCTGGTGAGGTTCTCACCCAACTCCAGCAGGTTCAGCTCCTCCATTTGCTTCTCCAAGGCGGCCCTATCCTTCAGGAACTGAAAGTGTCTCTCTCGATCCATGAAGGGAGTGTTAGCTAATATGCTGGCTTCCTCCTTCTCTAAGTCCTGGATCTTTTTGTTCTGGCTCTGCTTTAGTTGTACAACAGGCCTCAGGGCCTTCAGCTTCTTCCTCAAGGTGGCATCCAGCATCCTGTCCTTCAGTAGCTGATTCTTGAGGTTGGCTGTGCGTGAGGAGAAGGTGTTGAGCAGCTCTCGCCTTTTGACTTCTATCTCCTGACACTGCTGGGTGTAGTCTTTCCAGAGGGAGTCATACTTCCTATCACTCTCTTCCTTCTTCTGCTTCAGGTACTCCAGGAGGGGCTTGTGTTCTTCTTCCTCCAGAGATATGGCCGTCTGCGTTTCCCTGATGTCCCTCATCAGTACTGACCGACGGCTCTTAACTGCTTCCATTTCCTGATGCATCTTACTCATGGCCGCCATGGTCTTCCTCCTCATCATCTTCTCCTGCTTTGTCATAGACGCTGGCTTCAGAAAGCTGTTGAAAATGGTCACATGGTGAGCCTCTGAAGGAGGAGTTTGGCGGCCAACAGCAAACCCTCCTTTGAAATCCTGGATTTCACTGGGACTGCTCTGCAGGTCTATGTTGGTGATGCTGACCCCTGAGGAGCAGGTGCTGGCGACAGGGACCAGTTTTTCAGGGGCACTTTGGCCAGTTTGAGGAAGTTCCATCTCTTTTTTCTTCTGGTCCTGGAAAATTAGCTCTGGCCACTTCACTCGGAAGTCGCATGTGGCCTTCTTCCTGGTCAGGCAGGCCCTGCAAGAGGGGTTTTGGTGTTTCAGCACAGTCTCATAATTGCTTGTAGTAAGTGATTTTGGACTAGCAGCCCCACCCATCTGCCTTTGTGGGAAAAGGGTGGCTCTTCCCTGCCTGAGGGGGAAAAGGGTGGTTCCTCCTACCCTTAAGTCCCAAGTATTATAATTCTGGCTTTGAGACTCCATTAAACCTTCCCCTCCAGGGTGCGGGCCTTTGGCCCTCCCAGATCCTGCTACCAGGGGCTCAGAAGCTCAGCACTGTCTCCTGGCTACAGTAGTCCCCTCTGTTCATCCCCTGGGCTTTACAGGCACAGGTAAGCACCTCCCCCACGGTCTCACAGGTGTCGGAGGTACAGGCCTCTCAGCCCAGGCAGAGCAGAATGTGGACTGTTATAGCCTCCTCATTAACCCTTAAGTGGCACATTCCCTGGTGGGCGGGGCTGGATAGAGGCGGGGCTTGTGGGATGGTGGGCGGGGCCTGGGTAGACTGGTTCGGAGCTGTAGGCAACCTTGGAAGAAAACCTGCTGAGTCTTGGCCCCTGTGGCAGGTAGCACCTGGGCTTTCTCAGCCCTGCGCAGGAGACCCTTTGCACTCGCCACCTACACGGCGCGGGCTGAGCAGGAGCCCTGGGAGGGAGGGAAGATGTCGAGGGCCTGGAGGCTCCAGGCTCCTGGCTTCGCTTCGCAGTGTGGAGTTTGGGCGCAGTCTGGGTCTGTTCCTCTGGCTTAGGATGCCCTCGGTGGCCACTGGGTTGCCTGTGGTGCTAGCGTCCTCCTGATGCAATGGCTGGTGTGCGAAGGGTGAGGCTTGCACAGCAAGCTGCCTCAGTTTCCCTGGAAGAGAGAGCCGCCTCAGAATTATGTCCTGTGCAGCCACCTCAGTACCGAAGGTAGTTACAGGTGGAGAAGGCCCAGAGTGTGGAGCGAATGTTCTAGGGAAGGACGCGGAGGAAGACCTCCCACAAACAGAGAAGCTGCAGGAGCAGAGGCCCCAGCATGGCCACTGTCCTGGTGGGCTCTCCCTGCTGTGAAGGACAGCTGAGGAACTTCCTCAGGGAAGAAGGCACTTGGCTTGTGGCAGGGGCAGTTTCAGTGCCTCCTGGCAAGGAGGCCCATGGGAGCAGCAGGAACAGGGAGAGGTGTCACTGTGTCTGGAGCCTTGGGAGAGGCTTCTGGGATAGGACATGCAGAGTTGGTGCCCTTCTCTATGTGCTGCCAGCGACCTCACCTCCTGCCCCTCTCCGGGCTTTTGGGTCTCAGTTCAGCACTGCTGTGTGGCTGCTGTGCTCAGACACAAACGAGGTGCCTGGGAAATGTGAAAAGGGGCGAAGGAAGAGTGAAGGACGAAGAGGAGAAGCAGTGGGGAAAGTAAGGACTCTACAGGCACCTTTAATCCCAGCACTGGGAGGAGGCAGCATAGGCAGGTGGTGGATAGGTCCTGTAAGTTTGAGGCTTGATCTCCAGAGCTACACAGTGAGACCTGGTCGCGGAAGGAAGCAAGGAAGGATGGAAGGAAGAAAGGAAGGAAGGAAGGAAGGAAGGAAGGAAGGAAGGAAGGAAGGAAGGAAAGACGGATAGACCCTGGGATACCATTTTTCTGCAATTGATGCAAGCATGGGCTTGCATTATTAGCCATCTACCTTGGTCGTCAGTGTTAGTGGCAAGGCCTTGTCCTGCTTTGAGATCTTTGTGTCACCCCTTAATAAGGACAATGGTAACAGGCTTGGGCCCAGTTCCTGCATAAGGCACCCACCTCACTGCCCCGCACGCACACAGTGGAGAACTCTGTTGAGACTGAGGAGTAATAAGAAGCAGTTCATGTTTCCCCTGTGAACTGGCAAGCTGTGGTCACCAGGGCCTGGAGAGCAACGGTAAAGTCGTATGGCTTCATCACCTTTGCTCAGCATCTTCTGCATCAAAGACGAGGGAAAGACCATGCCACATCTCCAGCATGGAGCCCCGTGCCCAGCCCAGCACTGCACCACCAAACAGGGTTTTTAATGGGACAGCGAAGCCAGCTGTTACTGTGCATGCTCTGGCTTTACAGCGAGACGCAGACGCAGGAGCCTCTCGTAAAGGTCTCTTCCAGAACCCATATGTATTGATCTTCTTGTTGGGTTTATGGGAGGGTGCAGTGTATCCTGCTCTCATTTGCAGCCTGGGCCTGCCCAGCCCAGCTTCCTAGCCTGTGGCCTGAGAGTGCATGTCTGAAGGAATTCCATGTCCCTGAAAAAGTTGATTGGAGTCTTACTGGATGCTCATACCTGACCGTGTGTGTCTTTCTTTTCTGTCTGCCTGAACCTCAGCTACTGGGACTCATGACTTGGTTGGGATAGAAAAGTGGCAGTACTCTGGAGGCATCTACACAGTGTCCTCTGCTGCTTTCAGGAACAGTCCTCACCCCAGAGCATGGTAACCCTAACCTTAACCCTTGACAGATGCAAATACTCTTCATTGGCTCTGCCAAAGCCCCTTCTGAAGACTGTGTTTTCATCAGTCTGCTGGGATTTGCTTTCAGCATTTCCATTTGGTTTCTTTCAGAATCTTAGTTTCTTTCTGAGTTTTTCTCCACGCCTCCACCTCTCTCATCTGTACTAATGACTGATCTACCCTCCAGAATGGACTGACCTCACCAGCTCCTTACCATCAGGCCACTGATCATTTATTTATTTATTTCCAGAAACTGTTTAATCTGCACCGGGAACTTTTCCCAGCTGAGAATCTGTGCTCAGCAGTCATGGTGGTTGCTCCATTAGGGAGCAAAGAGTGTTTCTCTTTGCAGAGCACTCAGTTTCAGGGATGGTCCTCCTGAGAGGTTTGTTCTGGAGCCACAGGGAGGAGAAACAAACAGCAGCCCTGTGCACAGGACACAAATATTCTCAGAAGAAAGCAGGGTTCCAACATGACCACAAAACCAACAGTGGTAAAGCTGTAGACCGCGCTATGATGTTAGCATGACCGGAACATGAATCATAATGAAAATGTTCAAAACACTGGACAAATGTAAGAAGGAAGAGCTAAAAACTGTGTGTATGTGTCTCTGCGCAGCTGTGTGATGTGGAAGCTTGCTGGAGGTGAGTGTTGTGTTGTTGGGTGTCTTCCTCGGTTGCCTCCACCATCCTTTTTGAGGCAGGGTCTCTTGCTGATCTGAACCCTCCTGAAATGGGTAGGCTGGCTCATCAGTCTGTGATCCTCCAGTCCCCACCTCCCCAGTGCTGGGGTTACTGGCATGCACACCATGGCTACCTTCTCTTTGCTTCATATTAAACTCAGGCCCCTCTTGCACAACCAGTCTTAAAGATCTTAAAGGAAAGCTTGTAAACCTCTGGTGGCTCTTGTGTCTCTGAAGAATGCGGGAGGAAGGCAGAATGCCACTGACTGCAGATGGGAGAGCAGAGAAAACGAAAGGGGCGCAGGAGAAAAAGAAACCAACTATGTTAAAAAAAAAAAAAAAGGAGTCTTTATGCTTTCTTCATGGATAACCATGTACATTCTGCCCCAAGCAAGGTAACATAGTTTCAGCTCTGGTTTGAAGGCATCTAAATAGAGCATGACCAAGCCTTTAAAAAAAAAAAAAAAAAAAAAAAAAAAAGAAACCAACTATGGAAAACGTAGACTGCTGACCAAGAGAGGGAAGTGTGTAACTGAGTTTGATGAGTGTTCAAAGGAGATGGCAGGTAAAAGCACAGCTTCAAAACCTCCAGTCCAGTTCTGGCTGAAATTCAGAAGGACAGTCGTGCTGGTGGCGCTGCAGGGGACACTGGGTGATGATGTCTCACGTGCAAAAAGCCAAAAACAGCCTCCAAAAGAAAGTCCCACATGGTACTGGAGCCTCTTTCCCTTTTCACTCCCCAAGAGGTGGGGATGGCTGTGATGTGCTCTGAGGGGAAGGGATGGCAAAGCTTCCCTGTGGCTCATGCTGCTTGGTCCGGGTTAGACAAGTGTGCACTGTCCCATCTCTGCGCCAGAGCCAGTTCTGCTGGCCACACACAGCTTCATGTCCTTGGACCAGGTCGATTCTCTCACCCTCCCTGGATCCTGCCTGCTAATGTTCTAGTCTAGGGTGTCGCCCACGTGCACTAGAAGTGTGGGAGCACTCAGAGCCCTAGATGTGTGCAGCAGAGGACCCACCTTCCTACTTTCAAGGATGCTGAGTGTTAATTACCCACGAGAGGGATGCTTTTGTGGGTGTCATGCACACCTTCCAACGTCAGAATTCTTGGGGCTCTGCAGCTTTGACAAACAGCTTTAACCGACCTACTCAGCTTGGGCTCCAAGCTCTCAAGCCCCTGCATTACTCTCAGTGAGAGCGATTCCTCACCTCCAGGGACAGAGATGAATCTGCTAATGCAGCTTCCAGCCTGTGCCTACCTTCCACCCTTCCAGCCCCCAGCTTGTCACTGCCTGTCTCCCGCACTCACTTAGGGGCTGTCACAGCTCCACAAAGGCTCCCGACCTGGGCATGCTCTGTGGCCTCAGGCCCAACCTAGTTCTGTTCTCAACAAGGTAGCATTCAGCAGTGGTGGGAAACCCCGCTCTCAAACAAGCACCCTGAGGCTTGAGTGGAGAATGCAGGTATTCACACAGGTGACTCTGGTAGCCTCCAAGAACCTGAGCACCCAGCTGCAATCGCTTGGGGTATTCATAAGCGGCATGGTGTCATTCTTTCTTTTTCTCTTCACTGGCGGGGTCTCTTTTGACCTATGTGACTAAGCTCTCTGTAAGAGACCACTGACTGGGGCTGTCAGAGGAGCTTTCCAGTAGCAAGTGGTCACAGAAGCAGCAAGTAAGCCAGGCTGATGGCGCTTTTGCAAGCAGGTACAACTTAAGATAAGGCTCTGTGGTTTTACTTCCCAGTAGACTCCGGTCCTCCCAGAGCCAAAGCCCTCCATGTCAGGCAGTGTGCACTGTGTTCCTGGGGAAATGGGAAGTTTCTGTCCTAGTAGGGGTTTCTATCACTGTGACAAAACACCAAGACCAAAAGTAAGTTGGGAAGGAAGTGTCAATTGGCTGATACTTCCACATCACTGTCCATCTTTGAAGGAAGTCAGAACAGGAACTCAAGCAGGCAGGAACCTGGAAGCAGGACCTGATGCAGAGGCCATGGAGGGGTTGCTGCTTACTGACTTGCTCATCATGGCTTTATTATAGAACCCAGGACCACCAATCCACAGTGTGGTGGGCCCTCCCCCATCCATCTCTAATTAAGAAAATGCAAGCTTGTGTACAGTCCAGTCTTATGGAGGCATTTTCTCAATCGGGAATCCCTTCTCTCAGATGACTCTAGACTATGTCAAGGTGACATAAAGTTAGCCAGCACAGTCGTCTAGTCTACGCACCCCAGATAGGGAAGCCGTGACAGACCAAAGTCCAGATGCCGTCCTATTAGGTGAGCCAATGAGTTTCCCTTGGAGTTACTAATATAGGTGTGTTAGGGGTGGGTACTAAGAGGAGCAGAAATAACTCAAAGACAGTTATATCACTAAAGCTGAGCCACCAGGGTGACAGCTCATGAAAGCTGGAAAGCTGGCGCACACTGCCCAGCTCAGCAGGACGGACAGTGTCCTTGCCTGGTGCCTCACTTGAGCTGAGCCTCTTCCAGACAGCTTGGCTTCTCAGAGTGACTCTTAGCAGTCTTTAACCACTTATATCCTCTTGGGGAGGGAGGGACCTAGTGAATCTGCTCAGCTTCAGTGACTTCCTTAAGCTGTTTTGAGTTGTTTCCTTCCTGAGCCTAAGGAGCTTCTCTGCAGGCTGAAGTGTTTCACCCCCTGTAAAAAACCCTGCTTCCCTCGAAGATGGAAGGTTGTATCTTGAGAGGAAACTGCTGCAGAGCTTTGTGACAGGTGGGATTTTCCTCCACCACTATCTTGTCCTCCTTGGGACAAGCCATGAGGAGCAAGCCATTAAACAGCACTCCTCCACTGTCTTGTCCTCCTGTCTTCCTTGTGAGGGCTGTGGGCTTGTTCTGGAGGCAGGGCTCACTGGATTTTGTCTGCTTACTTGTTGGAAGTAGCTTCTCTTTCCCCATCCTCCACCCATGATCTATGTTGCTCAGGCTGTTTGCTGCTTTTCTGGGTGGCAAGGTGCTGTTTTCCTGCTTGGATCCTTTTCATTGTGAATTTCTGAAACTTTTCCTATTTCTCTCTTGGGGTCAAGTCCACTGATCAAGTAGCTCTTCCTCACCGGTTCACTCAGACTGTTTGCCTTTTGTTTTCAAACTGAGACCTAGCACACATTAGGGAAACACCCTTTGGATGAGCCACACTTTAGTCCCTCACTGAGGAATTCTCTAGAAGATGTATTTTTTAGACAGAATCTTACTGTAGCTTAGACTGACCTGGAACTCATTTTGTATCATTGTATATCAGTTTGTGATCCGACTGTTAGGATCACAAACTTGAGCTAGCATGCCTGGTTAGGAAGTGACCTCACGAGCCTGTGGCAAGTGCCATAGAGGGCTTGGATTCTGTTTGTGGCCTCAGAGAGAAGCTACAAGAACCGTCCTTCCACTCTCCCTCTGCAGGCTCTGGGCTGTGGTGTGGAGCTCTCCGATGTCAGCTGCAGGCAGTTTCTAGATCAGCTCATCGGATTTTTTCATTTCTACATGGGCCCTGTCTCCCAGGCCTACAAGGTATGGCACAGATTGCCAGAGGCATTGAGCGCTTCAAAATCAGCACTGCTGGGACAGGCCTTCCCTGGGCCTGTCTCTGTGTACTACGTGGTTCCATGTGATGAGGTGGCACACCCTAGAGCCCCTTAGGGATGCCTGTGTCCCATATGTCTGCTGTCCCTCTTCTCTGGGTTGGTATACCTTTCTGGAGGATGTTCCCTGGCTCTGTGACAGGGCTGGTCATCGGAGTGAGAGCTGGGACATATATGGTAGGGATGGGATGAGACAGACCTGTCCATTCTTTTGGTTTGCTATTGGGGAGCCCCCTGTAGAAACAGAACCCTTCCCAAAGACCCTGTGTCCTGATCTCAGGTGCTGATTTCCTCTGTCCTTGTCTCAGAACTGCCCTCAGGGGGAGCTGAGCTTGCAGTGGGATCTCTTCATCACACAAGTCCTCAGGAGCACAAGCGAATCACACAGGATCTTCAATGCCCTGTGGAACCTGGACCATACCAAGGTAAGGCTGCTGCCCTCCTGTTCAGTGCCCGCATGGGTATTCGGGTGTGGGCTGTTGGGACAGGGCTGTGAGCTGCTTCAGAACACCTGTGTATGAGCACGTAGATGGGGAGTGGGAGGATGTGTTTTCCAGCAGAGCAACTAACTGGTGAACGGTTTCCCTGCTGCTGTAGACTGAGGCAGGCTGCCTCTCAGATGCTCCTTGCCCTGCTTCCCTGAGCACTCTGAATGCCAGGGGGGACCATCCTGACAGGCAGCAGATAAAAACTCAGTGAGTAGGGTTGTCACCACCACCTCTGAAGAGGTGACTCTGAGGCTCGAGGGGCTCCTTGTCTCTCCCTACAAATGTCCAGGGCTTTAGTGACCTGTGGCCTGGCTCACATCTTCTCATTTGCATTTGAGAGAGGTGGGAAGTTCTATTTCTGGACCATTCCATTTCCCATTTGCACTCACCCACTGAGTGCTGGCTGCTGTATAACTGGCCTGGGCTTCTGTGCATCTCAGGTCTGCCCTTTTCCTCTCACTGCTGAGGAAAGCAGCTAGGATTCAGCATTTCTAGCGCCCACTGTGCTGGGCAGGGGGTAGGTCTTCCCACTTCTGGGGGAACTTCGGAGGCCAGTTGGTACTGAGCACAGTCTGGGACTGTGAGCGTGAGGTCACTCTGTGTGCATCTGTTACTTTAGTCCTGGCTCACGTCCGTGCTGGTGGGGGGCTGCCATGTCTGGGCAGGCTGGACAGGCTCATGTGATTTTCATGGTTGAACAGCTGATTTCTTACAAGAAGTACAGGCCAGCCTGAGTTGTAAATGGCCTCAGTTGCACTCTGAAGACTGCTCTGCTGTTCCCTGGGCACTTGTGGGTGTTCTCACAGGCACGTGTCTCATGTTTTTTAGGTGGAGCCCCTGCTGCTGCTGAAGGCAGCTCTCATCTTGCAGACCTGCCAGCGCTCGCCCCACGTCCTTGCTGGCTGCATCCTCTATAAAGGACTGTGAGTTGTGCCCACGCCTCCCCTCCACTCATGTCCCCTGCTGGGCTGCCACCTCACTGTTCCCACTAGTTCTGTATCAAGGTCTGCAGTTCGAGGCCAGCTGTTTAGCAAAGGCCAGATCATTTGGGTTGGCCTAGGGTACATCACCTGGCAACTGGGAACTGTTCAGGAAAGGGACCCTGAGGTACTGTTTGCTGTCTTGGTCCAGTGTGAGTGGGTGGAATGCAGTGCAGAGCCCCACACTCTAAGCAGCAGCCAACCCTGCAGGTAGAGGCTGTGCTCAGTGCACTCAGCTGCTCCCAGCAAACTCACACAGAGAGCTCCAGGCCTCACCACCTCCTTACGGAACATTTGTGCTCACTGCCCAGGCAGACTGGGCCTTGGGAAGGGCTGAGAGGTGTGCCTCAGCCAATGTTCTGTGTGTGTGTGTGTGTGTGTGTGTGTTGGGGGGGGGGGTGACGGCGGGAGTGAAGACCTGGCTTCTCTTCCTTTCTGCTTTGCCATCTTGGACACGTGGCCCCCTCAGGAGACCGTGCTGGAGAGTGAAATGAGTGGGTGATGTGGGCCCAAGCACAGACCCCATGACCATCATCTCTCTCCCCAGTTCATCCAGGATGACTCTGCATGTCATTTTGTCACAGATGGCATCAAAGATAGGGTTTGTGGGCAGACAAGGTGGCTGAGTGAGTAAAGGTGCTTGTTGCCAAGCCTGGCAACCTGAGTTCCTTTCTGAGACCCACACGGTGAAAGGAGAAAACTGACTCCTCTGTCCTGTATACATCTCACAGCACTTGCCTGTGAGTGCACACTTGTACACACATACACACACACACACACACACACACACACACACACACACACACACTTTATTTTGGGACAGTACCTCACCATGTATCCCTGGCTGTCCAGGAATTCTCTATATAAACCAGGCTAGCTTTGAACTCACGAACATAGGCTGCCTCTGCTTCCTGAGTGCTAAGATTAAAAGTCTGTGCCACTGTGCCCAGCCCCCTCTGTGTACCAACTGCACAGAGAGGCCCTTCTGCCTTTTTTTTAGTGATGCCCATGGCCAGCAGTGTGGCAGGAAGTCCTACACTGTGTATAACTCACACACGGGTTCCCACTGCTCTCTGGGCAACTGGGGCATAGTGCTCAGAACTGGACATGTGTGGTGGACATGCTTTTGTCTCTGCTGGTTATTGATAGTCTCACTGTGCATACAGCCCAGGCTGGCCTAGAGCTCACAGAGGTGCCTCCTGCCCTGCCTTTGTGCTCCCAGTAGTTGGCTCAGAGACTCTTTTTCATTGCACACAGGTGGCTTGCTTGTGTTCTTAACATGCCTGCCATCTCTGTGTCGAATAGCTACATGATACCTCGTCAGTGAGGCCTGCAGAGCAGAGTCCTCCACTGAAAGCCTACCAGATTTCTGCCAGCCACATCCCCAAGATCCTCTATCTCCAGGGATATTTGTAGTGAAATTGTAATTCAGAACATGGCTGCCCTGGCAAGAGATCACATCCAAAGACCTTCTAGGTCTGTGTGATCCAGCTGGAATATAGATGCACTGGGCAGTGGTCTCCACTCCTGTGATCCCAGGAGACAGACACAAGCAGATCTCTGAGTTCAGGGCCAGCCTGGTACAGAGCAAGTAAAGTGAAGAAGCTTTTGAGGTAGAAAACAAAACAAAACAAAAAAAAGCTTAGGTCCAGGCTTGGTGATACATGCATTTAATCCCAACCTATGATGGTAAAGTTAGTTTGTAGAAGGAAGCACCCATGTTTGAAAGTGATGTCTAATTGAGTGGCAGAAAATGTGACAAATAAGAGGAAGATTTGACAGAATAGGATAGGCCAACTCTTCATGAGAAGAGAAAGGGAAACTATGTAAGCAGCAGTGCAGGAAAAGGAAGGAGGCAGTTTTACTAGGAGAGTTTTACAGAGACAGGTTGAAGAGAAAACAAGCTAGACACAGGTGAAAACAGAATGAGCCAGAGAATGAGAAGGAGCCAGAAGATTAGAACAGATTGCTACAGTTAGTTTGAGGCCACACAGAGCAATTCGATCAGAGGCTGAGAGAGAATCCAGATTGAATAAGTTAGCTTGGAGAGGAGTATTGAGCCAGAACAGCTGAGTTGAACCAGCTAGCAAGAGTTCAGCAAAAAGCAAGAAAGGGTGAGCTTATTCAAGGTAAGTTTCAGAGGCTGAAAACATTCTAGGTCTAGGTTAGACTGTACGGAGGCTGGAAGCTTCCAGGACTAGGCCTAGGTTAGCAGATGGAGGCAGTAAGCTTCCAAGAGAAGAATTAAAACAGGACAGTAAAAGTTACATTTGCAGTGGCATCTCTGGAGCTGGGAGGCCCCAACACTTCTCATGGCATTCTTATCCTTATGTCTTAACCCCAGGATTGTGAATTCCCAGCTCCCGCCTTCCCTCACTGCCAAGGTCCTGCTTCATCAGACTGTACCTGCAGACCAGGTACGGTACGGACTGCAACCTGCTAGGAGGCCGACCCAGAACACCTGTCATCCAGCCTGGTGGGGCAGGCTCCACATGGCAGGTTTAGGGCACTTGTTCACTGAATATGTCACAACCCATTGGTGTTGTCAAGGAGGAAACAAGAGTAAATGCAGGCATTTGCCATGTAGTGAGCTTGGGCACTGGTTCTTTTCACGCTAAGCAGAGCTGTGTGCATTCAGCTTCCACTAGCTTGCCTTGATGGCAGTGAGGACACTGTAAAGAATATATCCTTAAATCAGCAGGAAAACTGCTGCCTGTGGTGCTGTGTGCCTCCCATGCCCACCATGGGAAGCTGAGGCAGGATGATGATGAGGGCTACCTACTGAGACTCTGTCTCAGACACTGGGTACAAGGGAGGAGAAAGGAAGCAAGGGCAGGCACAGGGAAACCCTGAGCTTCATATGGTTCATTGTGTTGGTATGAAGAGTCCACACAGCCATTGACCATAAAGCTGCCCACAGACAGGTGGCATAGCGGTGCACACCTTCAAGTTTGAGGCTAACCTGGTCTACAAAGTGAGTCTCAGGACAGGCAGAGCTCCACAGTGAGGTCCTGTTTTGGGGAAGGGCAAAAATGCCTCAGACTACAGCATAGACTCCACAGCTGTCATCCACAGTTCCCATCTAGTCTCTCCCTCTCCATCCCCCCCCCCCAATTTTTTTGTTTGTTTTGATTTTGGAGATGGAGTTCCCACTGGGTAGCCTGGTCTACATAGAGAACTGAACTTCTTGTCCATTGGCCTCACCTCCCCAGTGCTTGGTCCCAGGCTGAGGCACTAGCACTGGCTTGTTTTGTGAGCTTCTGTTTGAAGTGCTTCACTGACCTCTCTCCCACCATGAGCATGAGCTGACATTCAGAGCCTGGTAGGGCTCTGGCTTCCAGTGGGTGGTGTCTGGAGGGCTGCCTGCACGCTCAGCAGTTTGGAACTGTAATGGAGCTCTTGCCTGTCTCCCATGACTCAGCTTCTGGGAACACACACTGAGGGAGAAAGGCCCTCCGAGCCTTACAGTGAAGGGGCAGCAGGTGAGACGTGGCTGCCTGAGGGTGCTGCAGACTTTGGCCTGCTGCCGCCGCCACATATGGCTCTCAAGCTGCTGTCCGGTGTAGCAGTGGCTACCCATGACTGGCACAGAGGCTCACGGCCCCTAAAGCTGGAAACTTGTTTTCCCACCTATACAAAGGAACTGCTGGCTTCTAGTCTGTGTCTGAGGGTCAGCTGATTTACATGAGCTGCTGCAGACTTCCTCAGGTCTCAGCCAGAGATTTCACAATGAGTACAGTCGCTTATACTATTTTAAGTGGAAATACTGAATTTTATTTAATGCCTCAAAGTAGTCAAAGTTATTTACTTAAAAGGGAAGGTCCCAAGTATTACAGGACTGTTAGCTTTAGAGTGAGAGGTTATGTAAGTTTGTTTGCTATTGCTGGGGCTTGGAGCCCAGGCCACTTGCGCTTTGTCACTGGGCTGTACTCCTAGCCCCTGTGGCTGTGCTGTGGACTAGGTTCCCAAAGCCAGAGTCAAGAGTGGGAATCCTTGCTCTGGTCTTTCATGGGAGACACTTAACCAGTTCAGAGCTGCTGCCTTGAAGCCTGCATGGCCCAGTTCTTGCCTCCTGGCCTCTGAGGAGCAAATGGCCCTGCTCCATCTGCTGGACTCTTGGCACAGGGTCATACCAGCTCTCTGGGCTTGGCTAAACCCTGTGAGCAGATGGTGCATGAATTCCTGATGGTTGTCAAGAGGAGAACATGGTGTCTGGTGCCAACCTGTGCACTCTTGTTTCAGAGACTGCCTGGAGCAGGGGCTGCCCCACAGGAAGCAGGTACGTGGTGCGGTAGACAGTGGGATGAGCTGTGTCAGACAGACGGGACTGGAACAGCTATGAGGACAGTTGTCCTTTGGCATCCTGATTTCCAAAAGTCATAGTCTTGGGCATGCCCTCCTGTGACTGCATTTTGTGACACTGCTCAGGTAGTGCTCAGGGTGTGAAGCTGGAGAGAGAGGAAGAAAGCTGTGGCTGCCATCTCATTCAGGATGAAGTGACTTCCCCAAGTGGCTCTGGCCTCATTCTAAAGCTGGAATTTGGCTGAGTCCTGGGCCAGCTGGAAGCCCCCCCCCCCCAACACTTATTTAATTTTAACTCATCTGATGTCTCCCTTCTCCACATTGGAATGTCATTGCCACACTCCTCTTTCCTTACTGCTCACAGCATCTGGGCAGGAGCTCTGGGGCTTTGGGCTAAGGGAGCAACCCCAGGGCTACTACCTGACCCAGTGTGGTTTAAGTGAGGCAGGTGAGTACCAAGGGCTGACCTCAGAGCCCTGCCCATGTTGTTTTTCTTTGCAGGAGCAGCTTTGCCCCCTAATGTGCAGATCACCCCTGTTTTCCTGAGTGAGGAGGAAGTGGCCAGCCTCCAGGAGTTCACAGTAGAGAGCGAAACTAGGTAGCCTGGTGTTCCCAGGGGTTTCTTCCAGCACGTGTGCTTCTTGCTTGTCTCCTCCACCAGCTTGTGAGGGTGTTGATCATAGGTGTCGTGGCATCAGGCCATGCAACAAACTCAGTGTGATACCCAGTGTGGAGCCAGGGGACCCATTAGCTGTGGTGGCTTACTGTGTGGCCTTGGCCACCTCTGGTCTGTGATCCTGACCTCACTGAGACACGCCCTGAGGACCACTCTTTGTCTTTCTTTACCTCTGTGGTTTGACCACGGTGGCATCTTGAGGCCAGTAGGTGCAGATGTCTGTTTGTCACTGATGCCTGTGACATCAGAGGATCAGAGCCGTAGTGTTCTACACTCTGCTAATGTGTTTTGTTTGCCAGACTCCAGGGAAGTTCATCTCAGTACCCTGCCTGGGATCAGAGCACCTCTACCCTAGCAGAAGATGCCACAAGGTATGCGCCATCTATGGCTGGGACATCAGCTGCCATCCTGGAGCCCACCCCCCATGATGGAGCATGGCTGAACGGCAGTGGGACAGATGAACACTTGCCTGGGCATGAGCAGGAACATTGTGGGACCACAGGACTGGGCCCCACTGCCTGTGGCTGGGGCACTGGCCTCAGCAGCAGGCTGCAGAAGGAGCTGGGTTTCTCCCAAGAGGAACTGGACTTGCCTGAAATCCACATTTCTGAGGCTCAGGAAGCCATCCCAGCTGTGCCTGCCCCAGGTGATCAGGAAGCAGTCTTCCCCAGCCCCCAGGACCCCACACTTCCTGAAGTCACAGCCATTTGCAGGTGCCTGGACCTTTCCCCTCTTGAGAGGCCTCCTGAGAGCAGAGGGCCAGAATGGCTCACAGACCCTCCCATCACCAATGGCGAAGCCCGAGTTCCTGGCGCAGACCCTCTCCCCAGCAGCAGGCCTGTGGCACTTCCTCCCAGTGATCCTGCGGGCACAGAGCCCAGTATGGAGAAATATGCGGATGGAGCCGACTCAGCCCTAGCATGCAGTCCCCACTCAGCTGACTGTCAGGGCCCCTGGCCCTCTGCAGGCAGCAGTGGCTTCAGGCCATCCGCAGCTGGACTCCACGAAGGCCTCATGCCCATGAAGCTCTACACTCACAGTGTGAATGGGCTGGTGCTGTCCTTGCTAACAGAGGAGCCTCTTCTCAGAAACGCTGCAGCCATCGAGGAGGTGGTGAGTGTTCTCGGGAAGGACCTCAGGTTTGTGTACTGAGGCTGAGTGGTCCCCACCTCTGTGAGGTTTTGTAGGGTGTGTAAGAGTGAGCCACATAGGCGTCACAGCACTGGTGTACAGGTGCTGGAGAAGGGAAGAGTTGGGCAGTAGTGGCTTGCACACAGCTCTCCCGTTGGTACCTTGCTTCCTTTTCAGTGGCCTGCAGCAGTGTTCAGCTTCCCATTCTGAGGTCATGCACCAAGGCCAAGGTGCCCTGCTTCTGGCCCAGCTCCAAGCTGAGGCAGCATGGGCACTGTTACCAGCACATCACAGCCTGGGGAAGGGGTCCCCAGGAACCCTGCATTTCCTCCCTAGACCCAGCCTCACATAGTAACTTGGGTGCTCCTTCCCAGAGTATATCTGAAATCCAACTGGTTGTGGAGGGCTCTTTTTGAAAAGCCATCCCTCCTGAAGCAGTGAACTGAGCTCTAGGGTCTGGGCCCACACTAGTGATAGAGTTGCTATGGTAACAGCCTTGCTGTCCTTGGCAGGAAGAACAGTTGCTGCAGGGCAAATGGTGTTCTAAGGCTGGACTTGTTTTTTTCTTAAATCCACATCATTCTGAGGCAGTCCTCCACTGAGGAGCCAGTCATGTTAGAGCTGAGGACAGGCTTCCACAGACCCTGCCCGTGGCCCAGAGGCTTGCTTTGAGCTCATTCAGTGTAGCAGTGCATAGCTGTGCCCACCTCTGCTTTAGGACAACAAAGGGTCATGCTGCGGCTTCATACAGCTCTGTGTCTTGTCTTTCCCTCAGATCTCACTGTGCTGGGCCCCAGGAGGGTTGCTCTGAAGACCTGGGGTTTGGATGCAGCAAAGGAGATAGACTGCCCCTCTCTTTGCCTCTGCCCCTCTGAAGAGACCCAGCCCAGGCTACCTTGGGGAAGGGTGGGCTACATAAGTCTGCTAGGCTGGATCACTATGTCAGGCAAGCTGAGAAAGGTCCTGGCAGGCAGGCCCTGCAGCTCCTGTCCTGGGAAGAAAGAGCCTGGTCGGGTGCAGACCTCATGAAGTGGCGTGTCCCCGCTGACTCTCACCCATTCCTCATCTCTGTCCCAGGCTAATCGGCCCTTGCTGAAAGGTTGAAAGAGGAGAGGAGAGTGTCCTGGCCTCTGCAGCCTCCGCTGTGGAGCCATTTGTCAAGGCCAACCACATTGTGACCACAGCCTCCAGCTCGACTGTACAACAGTAGAGTTGTTGTGGCTAGGCCCAGGAACGGGATGCAGGGCATGGAAGACAAAGGCCAGTAGTACTCTCTAGAGTACTCACCTTGAGCAGTGCTGATCTGAGAGTGGGAATGTGAACCAGACAGAACCCAGGTCTGGTTTATAGGAGAGGTTTGTTACCATCTCTCTGTCTTAAGCAGAATAGACTTAAATAGAAAGTGCTTTGCCTGATTCTTCTGCAGCTTTCTTGCTGTTTTCTGGAAGGAAGACAGACAGAATCTCAGCAGCGTGGTCCCACAGGCTGGCTAGACAGTGCCATAGCCCTCTGAAGAGGCTCTGTCCGGAGGTCTGTCTTCTAAGAGCGAGCCTGGGAGCTGTGCTGTCAAAGGGAAGTGCTAGAGACTCCCACCAGGGGGCAGCTTAACATCCCTGGGCTTGCTTTGGGCTCTACACCCGTGATCTTTCCATAGCTCTTCAGCTTCAGGGAGCCCGTGGGTTGCTGCTTCATTAGGCTGTGCATGGGGGCACCAGGGATTGCTTGGTGATGTAGCCATGTCAATCCTGTGGGCTGCACACACTGCTCCCCAGCCCACAGGGCTGCGTCACCCGCCTTGAGATGTAGTGTGGGCTGAAGTCAGATCCCTACATCTCCTCAGGCCGTTTTGAGATCATGCTGCATATCTAGTCAGTGAGGCTTTTACTCAGGGACCTGGACATTTTCAGCTTTGCAAGCTCTACAGCCTTGTATGGTTCAAAACCAGGCAGCATGTGAGTGGTGTGGCCGTGACCTTCTGTGACCACCCCGAAGACTCCTTATAGGTCACAGGGGATACTGTGACTGATAAAAACTGTCCTCAGTTGCTAAGCTGTACAAAAACAGGTCACCTGTATTTAAGCAGACCCTTGTATCTATGACAGCACTTAGTCACCAGTGGGAAGGCTCCTCCATATAACCTGTCCTATGATAGCTTAGAGTTAAGCAACTTTATCTTAACTATAAGCTAGGCACAAAGTAGAGCCTTCTACCTTCAGAGAGAGCAGGATCTGGTTGGCTCACTCTCTGGTCCAGCTTTCCCTGTCTCTTATCAGCAACTTTAAGAGGGTCACTGTTACCTGGGCCCTTAGGTCTGGATGGTATGGTGTGGCTGTGTGGTGAGCTCCCCTGGCCATCCCAGTGCCCACCTCCAGGCTGCTTGGCAAGCTCCCCTGGCCATCCCAGTGTTGACCCCACTCGACCCCGCACCACCCCAACACATATAACTTTCAAACCTAGGCTCATTTGTGTCTGCCAACCCAGTGTTGGTAAGTGTCCTGACCGTCAGGGCAGAGGTAGCTCTGTGTGCACCTGCTCTCCTCAGCTGCACGCTCTCAGGAGAAGCTAGTGGTTGCAGTGGTTGAAGTGGCTGGCACTCACTGGTTTGTCCATTGGCTCATTCATGGGCATTCACACACTACTTATCTGCTGGAGCTCCCGAGACAGAGTTGGGGAGGTTCTTCCACTCACAACCTCTATCTCCTTCCTCAAGACAACCTACCTCTGGTGGCTGCTCCCCAGGACCGCCGCTTTCTGCAGGCCGTCAGCCTCATGCACTCTGACTTCCTCAGCTCACGCCCCTCTCAGAGCCCTGAGTACAGGCCACAGGCCCAGAAGTCCCCAGTCTTCTAGAAGCTGCACATTCATGGAAGAGATGAGCTCCTGATAAACTTCACCCAGGCTGTGGTGGGAAACATTGTGAACACAGGCCACCAATATTGTTAAGACAGAAAGTCCCAGAGATGAAGAGACGACTCAGGGGTTAGAGCACTTGCTGCTTGTTCAGAGGACCTGAGTTCAGTACTAGCGCCCACATTGGATGGTTCACAATTGCCTGTATCACCTGCTCAAGGGATCTAATGCCCTCTTCTGAGCTCCATGTGTACACACATAACACATGAAAAGAAAAAAAAAATATATATATATATATAAGCATGAGGGGCTGGGGATTATACACGCCTGTAATCCAAGCACTCAGGAGGCAGAGGGAGGAGGCTTTCCACAAGCTTGAGGCCAGCCTGGTCTTCATAGTGAATTCCACGCATAGGGAAGCCCTATCTAAAAAAAACAAAGAAACGTGAGTGGAGCCTGATGTTTCAGGCAAACACTGACTATTTTCGCCAGACACAGTGGCCACGGAGGCATTGTCTAGGTGCTCACTTTTTAACTATGCCACCCTATGACCTCCTGGCTCTCTGCAGTACCACAGCAGCCTGGCATCGCTGAATGGGCTGGAAGTCCACCTGAAGGAGACACTGCCCAGAGCTGAGGCCAGCCCCAAAAGCAGCACCTACAACTTCATGCATTACGACCGCATCCAGAGGGTGCTCTCAGGTAAGGGACAGATACAGGGACCCCAGCCCCGCGTGGGTGGAGAACTAGCCCCAGTCATGGCACTGCTGTAGAACACAGCCCTCTGGCCTCAGTTAGGCCTCTTAGCTCACTGGCAAACCTTCCTTTGCTCCTTTTCTTGTTGCTCATTCCCCAGAGGGAACTCGTGAGTTTAAGCATCTGTGGTAAGGGGTCCCCCGTGCAGGAGCTACTGTGGCTTGCAGTGGGGCTGGCAGTGCTCTCTCCCAGAGGCAGCAGTTGGGCTGGGACCTGGACTCATTGCCCCCGCGTCAGGACTGGGCACAAGGAGTTGGGGAGGTTCTACCACTCACAACCTCTATCTCCTTCCTCAAGCCAACCTACCTCTGGTGGCTGCTCCCCAGGACCGCCGCTTTCTGCAGGCCGTCAGCCTCATGCACTCTGACTTTGCCCGGCTGCCCCTGCTGTACGAGATGACCGTCAGGTGAGCCTCTGAGCCCACTTCCAGCAGCCCCTCAAAGGCCTGCTCACCAGGTGCTTCCTGGGCCTGGCTGTGCTTATCACTAGGTAGTGAATGTGGTTGGTCCCTTTGGCCCTTTGGAGGCCATCCTCCCATGCATGCCTGGGTTAGGTTTCCCAGAGCCTCCCCTGCTCTAGATATGCAGGTTATGACAGTGGCAAAGCTGTCATAGGGCTGTATCTTTCCTGAGGGTAGACCAGACAGCACCATTAATTCTAATTACAAATGAAACGCTTCCTGTGAACAAACGCACTGCAGAAAGTTCAGAACCAGACATTTCTCCAGTGCACAATCACCATGAGAGCCCACCTGTGTCTTTTTGTGGTGGCACTCCAGGGCACTGCCATCTTGGTTTTCATGCTCTGTGGCTGATAAAGATGATGTGGGTTCCATTTCCCTCTCCACTGCCATGCTTCCTCATCCTCCAGGTGGCTGGTACAGTCTCTGGACTATTCCTGAAACTGGATATTTAAACCAGCCTGTTCCTCCTCTCCATGCTTCCTGAAGCTAGAGGAAAGTCAGGCACATTGGAGGGCTGCCGGGAGAGCCTCCCCTCCCGGGAGACCTGCAGGCTCAGAACTGGCTGTGCAAATGACTCTTCATTCCTCTCGCAGTGAGAAACATGAACGCACGTGGAAACAGTGGTACCCTAGGCCACAGTCTCATGGGCAGAAGGCCAGGCTCTGAGCCCAGGCCTCCATGACTCTGAGGGCATGCTCTTCCCCAGAGGCCCCAGGAGTTGGGCTAGAACTGGGGGTCTGAACTCACAGGAGCACACAGAGCCTTGGTGATGAAATTCCCATGTCCTGTCACCTGACATGCTAGAGCCAGCTGTCTGCCCTGGTATCCCCTGCTGCTGGTAGCAGCTGGTAGCTCGTCCTCTCTAGCTGGCAGCCGACATGTGACTTGCATCTAGGTGTGCTGAGTATGTGGCTGTGGAGTAGGAGGCGGCAGTAAGCGAAGGTCGACATCCGCCCCACCACCTGATGGTGGCCACTGTGCTTCAGCCTCCTAGAGCAAGAGGGTTCAGTGTGGGGTAGAGCCCAAGGCTGGTGCCGGGCGAGTTCTGACCTCAGGGACAGGGAGCAGCTCCGTGGCACTTGCTAAGGAGCACACAGTCTCCTGTGGTCTCTGAATAAAGCCAGGCACCCTCTGCTTGCCAACAGGAGGGTCAGCATTGCCACACAGGGGTAACTGGAGGGTTTACCCATCAGGCCCCACGCTTGAGCTTCAAGAGGGGCTGACGATCCCTATGCCAGCCAGATCCCGTGTGTACCCAAGGCCTGGGGGTGCCCCTCATCCAACAGGAGACAGCGGAGGGGAGGAGCCTTAGCGGCCCTGACTCCACTATTAAATGCTACAATTAGGGAAACTGAGGCTGGTAGGCTCAAGGAAGAATGTAGGGCTAGAGGTGACTAGGGGTTCCTGTTAACAGGTGGGGTCTCTCCTTGGTTACTGTGCCCTGGCAGGGAAGGATTCAGCTGAGAGACACAGTTTAAGCTGAAGTTTACTTGGCAAAGTGGAGAAGATGAGGCGGGCTGTCCTGAAAGTGGGGGAGCATCATGATGGGTATTGGTTGTGGATTTTTAAGTGTGTGTGTGCCGTGCATGTGTGCATGATATGTGTGCATGTGTCTATATGGTGAACACACATATGTGTGTGGTGTGGTGTGCATGTCTGAGTGTGTGTGACATGCATTGTGCATGAGGTATGCACATGTGTCTGTGTGTGATATGCACATATGAATATATGTGTCAGTGCAGCATGTATATGATGCACATGTTGTGTGTGTGATGTGTGCATGACGTACACACAGGTGTCTGTTTCTGTGTGGTGTGTGTGTGTGATATGCCCATGTGTGTCTGTGTGTGGTATGTGTGTGATGTGCATATTGTGTGTATGTGTGCATTTATGTGTGATGTATGCACATGTCTGTGTGTAATGTGCACACGTGTGACTGTGTATAGTGTGTGTGCACGTCTGTGTGTGGTATGTATACATGTTTGTGTGCACATGTCTGTGTGTGTGTGTGTGTGTGTGTGTGTGTGTGTGTGTGCGCGCGCGGGTGCGTGCGTGCGTGCAAGTTTGCACATGCACCACAGTGCGAGTGTGAAAGTCAGAGGCCACTGTGCAGAACTTGGGACCATTTTCTATCGTTGGGTTTCAGGGTGTCAAGCATCCTTCTGGCCCTGTGTTGTGGAGTTTTAGGGAGTTCTTATGAATATTTATGCAATTGGTGGCATATTCATAGATTGAGGTAACCTTTTTTCTTCTCAAACTTTCTCTTTAGGGTATTTATTACAAGGTTTTAGGGAAATAGCACAGCGGTGTGAGGAGATCAAGCCTGCAGTGCAAATGACACTGGTGTGGAGGATGCTGGCCCTTGGGTAGTGTGCATGTACCTGCACTCGTCCCAGGTGCTGTCTCGGTGTCTGGGCAGTGTGGCTTCAAGGGTGTGGGACAGATGAGCAGCATGCTGTCGGGAGCTCAGCGCTGCTCCGTGAGCAGCTGTGGTTTCCTTGGTTACCCTACTCCTACCTTCTCAATTACCCATCACAGGTCTTCCTCTGTGCAATGCTGCGTCCCTCTGTCAGCCCGTGGGTCTGTCCCTTCCCACTCCTCTGTCACCATCAGGCATCAGGATACAGCAGCACCAGCTACCTCCTGGGCCGAGGCTCTGTGGCTGGTGGGTGGGACAGTCGTTCCTGCTGTGAGGAGGGAGGGATGTGAGCAGGGCTTTTGCTCCGCTGTTGCTGTGTTGACAGCAGCCTCCATGGTTCACTTAATTGGTAACTGGGCCTTTAGATCCTGACTGCAGCCACCTCAGGCCCATCATCCCTCCTCCCAGCCCCCAATGAGTTGAAAAGACAGGAGAATAGTTGTTACCCAGGCCTGCAGCTCAAAGCAATGGTCTGAGCCACAGCCGGCATTAGGGGTGCTGGGGTGGCCAGCCAGGGCCCACACTGGCACCCCTGAGCTGTTGTTCTCCTTCCTCCCCCATAGGAACGCCTCCACGGCTGTGTATGCCTGCTGCAGCCCTGCCCAGGAGACCTACTTCCAGCAGCTGGCGCCCACAGCCCGCAGCTCTGGCTTCCCGAGCCCTCAGGATTGTGCCTTCAGCCTCGCAGGCAAGGCCAGGAGGAAGCTGCTGAAGCACGGGGTAAACCTGCTGTGAGCAGAGCACAACCTGCACTGGGCCGCGGCCCTCCACACAGTGTCCCCAGTGTTCAGGGCCGAGCAGGACCTCGCTCCTCAGTGGGTGCTGAATGGCACCAAATGGGCTCAGGTGCTGGCCTTTGTGACTTGAGACTTGACTATGGTACAGAGCAGGCTACAACTCAAGAATGCAGCTCTGGGAATCTCAGCTGACAGTCTACTCATGGTACCCATGGTGCTTTGCAACCTTGTGGTGCTGAGTTCCAGTTTATGAAACAGATTCCCCAGGGCTCAAAAATAAAATGACCAAACTGAGTTCTGAGCAATTGCCTAGCGACAGAGTGAAGGTTTATAAAGTTGCTTACGTTAGAGCACAGATCATGTGCATAGAACCGGTATACGCTGACCTACAGACCGAACTCATCCCAGGTGCCCGGCAGCACCAATCCCACAGGCCTGCTGTGGAGGGGTTTCTGTGCTATATTGTGGAGTCTGTGCATGGTGATGGCACATGACTTCCTCCCCATGTGCCCCCACGGGTGCAGAACTCATGCGTCTGCTGTGCTGGCTGTCTCTCCCCAGGACTGCACAGCCTCGTGCCTGTCTTCAGGGTCATAAGCCGCAGCGAGCAGAGTCTCTTCCTTTCCCTGAGACCCCTCTAGCTACTGGCTGGCCAGAGGCTGGCCTCCCTGCCAGGAGCGTCCTGCTTCCAGCCAGGCACAGGCATACTGACCTCCAGCCCCAGTCAGTTCTTCCACAATGAAACTCATTCCAAGTTTTTTGGCAGTTCTCAAGAGACCTCACGATGAACTTCCAGCTTGTTCTGCCGAGGGGTGCTCCGCACAGCACACTCTCCCGCCTGCTAACTGGTACTCAGTCCTGGCCCTAACCTTGGTCTCAGCCCATGATATGTGGGAACCTGGGACTCAGGAGCACAGAGGTGTCGCATCTTCCTGCTGTGGCTCTTCTAACTGCTTGTTTTTGAGGATTCTTCTAGGAAGCTCTTTCAGGGAATGTCACTGAACTCCACCTGCCCTTGGGTGGCACGGAGCTTTCTGCAGACCAAATGCACTCACTCTAAGAACCAGTGCCTTCCCAAACTCCACTCATAACAAGATGAGGCCTGGCCCAAGCACCATTGGATGGGAAGCCCTGAATGTAGGGGCTTAAAAAATATCCCCAGGGGTTTTTCTATAAGTCAGGAACACATTCCCTCTTGAGCATGGACATATCACTGGTGTGTGGTGTGCGTTGTGGAGTACATATGTGTGGAAGACAGAGAAGGACATGGTGTGTCCTATCATTTCCCACCTTATTTCTTTGAGACAGGGTCTCTCACCCAAATGAGCTAAGCTCCCTCATTGCTCAGTGCTGGGTTCCAGGCGTGCGCATGGCCTCACAGCTCTTAATGTAGGTGCTGGGATCTGAACTGGGGTCTTCATGCTTGTCCTGCGAGCTTGCTCCTCTCCGCTCAGCCATCTGGTAGTCCACACCTGTGGTGCCAGCTCTGAGGTGAGGCAGGAAGACACCGAGTTGAGGGCTGCCTGCACCACTATGTGGGCTCCCTGCCACCCACAGTTCTTACCGAGAATGAACCTGAAAAGAAGGAAGGACTGAGGGTTTAGCTCAGAGGTGCTTGCCTGGCAGGAGGCTCTGGCACATAACATGCATACCTCTCTTGGCCTGTTATTTGTGGGGTTGTGGGTCTTGAAGACACACAGGTAGCTAGATGGTAAGGCCCCCAGGGAGGAACTTCAGCCTCAGCCAGAGCCTGTGAACCTTGTTGGAAGTGGATCCATAAAGGTGCAGATGGCTCTGCCAGTACTTCCGGTGAAGCTGGGTGAAGTGACGGTAAGCATTCATCGGTTCTTCCCAGGAGTGCACTGGAAGTCCCTTCTCCCCCACACAGAGTGGCCTCCACCCACAGAGCCTCAGAGACCCAGCTGCCTCCTGCCCTGCCTGGCTGGTCCCTGCTTGTGCAGCCTCTTGAGAAGATGTGGCAGAAGCCTGTGGCTCTGCTTTTTCTTTGCTGTCGGTGGAGGGCTGGGACCTCAGGTATGAGGCATTTCCTGGTCCCAGGATGCTTCACTGGGGTGCACAAAGGTCCCTCCCCGTTCCAGATTACAGCCCAATTGGGCCTCCTGCCTGAAGCCGGGAGCTGCTTACCATTGACAGTTTTGTGGGGTTTGTATGTAAACTGTTTGCCACTTCTGCCAAAAAGAACCTCTGGAGTTGCTTCCCTCAGGTCTATAGAAACCCTCACATCTCAGCCCAGGTCTGACTCAAGAATTCAGGTCCTGAAACACTGCAGGCATTCCTCCTCCTTTGTCATTTCTCTGTTTCCACCAAGCCAGTTCTGATGTCAGACTCAGTGTTGGGTTTACACTGAGCCATCCTGGTGGCCCTCCTTACACTCTGCCTCTGCCATGGAGGCTCCACCGAGGCCCCTCTAAGCCCAGGGAGGGGGGACACCTGGTGCTGCTGCTGCTGAAGTCTCTACAGCTAGTGACTGGCCTGGAGGCTGTTGGGAAAGGACATCCAACCCTAGCTTCTTGCTCCATTGCCCTTGGCGCCTGGCCTCTCAGGACAGTTGGCATATAGCCCCAAGCCCACAACCTCAAAATTCCCTTTGAAAATGGAATGTCCCCACAGCAGAGGCTTGACAGGGTCTGTGACACGCTTCCATTGTACTGGGCGAGTACCAGGCCATCCATGGCAGTGTCTGCCAGGGAGCTCTATCCACAGCATCATAGTCAACAACCAGAGTGTCACTGTGCACCTGAATAAAAGACTCCACACACTGTCCACAGCAGAAACCATAGCATGCTCCCAGGAGAGATTCAACTGGCCATCATTCCCACTGGGGAGAGACTGGCGCACACCCATTCACACCACTTCCAAGTGACAGTCCTGTGGTGTCCCATGATGTCCAAGCAGGCCTTGAGCACCATCCTAGGTGCTTCTGACACATAGGTGATGGAGACGAGTCACCAGGAGAGCAGCTATGTGAAAATGGCTGAGGGGGAAGCCAGTGGTTACTGCGTGTCAGGAAACAGTGACTGGACCCGCTTGCTAGCCTGCCAAGGGGCCTGGATGGACTCCTGCCCTCCAGAGCCGTGAAGGGCAATTCTGGATGTTCCAGCCTGTAAGTTTGCAGTCCTTTGTCACAGCTGCTGCAGGAATCTACACCCAAGTATTCGGCTTGTGGGAGAGGCAGGCCTGGTGAGGACGCTGAGGCACCAGCCTATCACGGGAGTCCAGCATGAGAAGATCTGCCTGTCCTTGGCTAGAAGGTCACCACTCCCAAGCGGGTGGGAAGCAGGGAGAGCGGTGGGGTGGAGGGGGCTTCTTGAGGGCTGTGGCTGTCCCTAGAGAGGGCTTGTGGCCTGTAGCCCTGAGAGGATAGGCAGCGGGTGGATGGAGCTGGCAGTGGACAAGGGAGCTAGTCTACCTGATGGGTGACAGGGACCCATCATGTCAACAGCAGTACAGGGGAGTGGTGCACTGGGGTGTTCATGATCTGCATCCCCCTCCTGCCCAGCACACACACCTACTCGCAGTCCTCAACTGCTGGCCTCTGAGAGGAGAGTAGCAGGAGGGGCAGCACCTGCCACCAGGCCCCTCTGTGAGGAGAGAACTAACCTGTTCTTCCTGCACATCTTTGAACCCTGACAGGAGCCCAGAGGCTGCCCAAGAATTGCTGAGAGGCAGTCCCTCTCTCTGTCTCACCTTCTTACAGCCAGGCCCAGCATGCTAAGGCAATGACTTGGGGCTCTGGCCTGAGGCCTGTGGAGGCTTCTAAAAGCACCATATTCACTCTCCTACCCAGCAGCCAAGCTGGTGCCAGCTTCAGCCTGGGCTCCCGTTACAGCATGTATAACCAAGGGCAGTGAGTGGCTCTTTTTGTGCCTTGTGTCCCTCCATCCTCATCCCCACACCCCGCTCAGCTAGCTCAGTGTCTTTGTATTCTTGTTAAAGCTTAGAAGATGCTGGCAACCCAAGAAAAGGCATTCTGAGGGTCCAGGACGTCAGCTGTTTGGCACTTGGGTGCAATCTACACCTATAGAGCAGTACAGTGCACGAGTTCCAGCAGAACACCCAGATCTGAACACTGGGGTCCCTGTGGTGTAGCTCTTCTCCAGCTTTAAACTGCCTCTGGATTACTACAGTGTAAACCAAGGGAAACTATACACATCTTTGCTGAGGAGAAACGACAAAGGGCTTAGCTGTGGGTTGGAACCTCGGGCCTCAGGCATGCTAGGTTCTACTACTGAACACCATCTCTTATTTTTTTTTTTAATGTGTTTTCACTCTGGTGGTGTGGCTCAGTGGCAGAGGTTCTGCCTAGAATCCCCCAGTGAGGGGTTGGGATGTGGCTCAGTGGCAGAGCCTCTGCAGAGAAACCCCAGTGAGGAGCTAGGGGCATAGCTCAGTGGCAGAGCACCTGCAGAGAATACCCCAGTGAAGGGCTGGGGCATGGCTCAGTGGCAGAGCACCTGCCTAGAATCCACTGTAGGGGACTAGGAGGTGGCTGAGTGATAGAGTGACTGCCTAGAATCTTATCAGTGGGGCATAACTCAGCGGTAATGTCCGCCCAGCATGCATGCAGCTCTGGATTCCAACCCCAGCAGTGCAACCAACCAACCAAAAACCCCTAAACACTCTCATCATGAACTTGGGATTGGCTCACATGTGGGAAGTGGGGTTGGGGAGAAAGGTTAAAAAAAAAAAGGGAGATGACCAGAAGTGACCTGAGAAGGTGGCGGGAAGTGGCCAGTCCAGTGTGAACCTCTTGCCACCTAGCACTGCAGTCCGCTTGAGTGTGTCCACAGCCATCTGTCAGCAGCTCTCGGTGGCCTCATTCTGTCCTGTTCCCTGCATTTATATCTGGTTCACAGCAGTCAGCTGGAGAGGTAAATGCTGGGGAAGGCTGCTGGCAGCGGTGCCTGCAGCCGGGAAGGGATCCTTAGAAAGGCACTGGCCCCTAGCCTATGTACATTAACATGCATGCACCTGTGCAGGCCCTCCTAAGCCACTGGAATGCCTGATTGAAGTCAGGTTAAGCTTCTGAAGCAAGCATGAGACCCATGCCACGGAAAAGACTGAGTGGGTTGCCACTTCTCAGTGGTATAGGACAGAAAGCACAGCTCAGTCGTGTCTCGGGAATCAGTGCAGTGTCTATGCTCATGGGGCCTAACAATCAACAGGCAGGGTTGGTTTCAAGCAAAGCTGCTTCAGGAAGCACGGGGACTCCGAAAGTGGGGCTGGCTAGTCTCCTGTGGTTCCTGCGGGTGTGGGGTGCGGGGGGTTCGTATCTGTTAGAACTTGAGTCATCGTGTGTCCAACTCTGATCCAACAGGGTAGGAATTTGGGAGATTGGCTGGTCCGGCCTGGGTCAGGGGTCCAGCCCTCAAGCTGATTTGCCAGACCTGAAACCTAAGGGCACAGTGTGGGGTTTTGTGCAGGGGCTCAGTGGTAGGGTGTCCGGCCCACATGGGCGAGATATGGGTTCCATCATTAGCATTGCAAACAACAAACACATAAACAAAAACCAGCACCCAGGATTCTGTTGACGAGAATTGCAAATCGGGCTGTTGTAGAGGCCGGGGCCAGGTGGACAGCCCAGCATCCCAGAGAACATGGCTCAGGCCTTACCGCCCTTGCTACCCAGAGCAGCAACCCTCAGCCCCAACTATTCAAGCCACAACAGCAGCGAGTTCTAAGATACAGGTAGGTCTGTGTTCCACCCCACAACACAGAAGGCAGCTGCTGTGGGATGGGCATGGGCCACCCACAATCTGCCTCTGCTGTATGCAGCCAAGCCCTCAGCTGGCACCAAAGACAGTGATGGGAAGCAAAGGAGGGTCAAGGGTCTAAGGACCTGTTGGTGACTTTGAGTCTTGGCTGGAGAGGCATGAAGAGGAAGCGGTGGGGATTCCTGTACCAGGTATTGGCTTGCTGTCCTTCCTCACCTCCGGTGGTCCTAGTGACACGCACAAATGACCCCCCAAACTGCTTAGTTGGTGGCGCAGCTGGAGGACGGGGAGGAACATCTTGGCCCTGGGAGGGCACCGCTCTTCCTTCCCTGGTGCAGCATCCCAGCGTTCACAGGCACTGGGCATGTGTCCCAACACCCTGCAGCCAGGCTGCCCCAGGGGTACCTGGCTGCCATCACTGTGGCCACCCGCAGTTGCTCACTGTATGTGGAGGAGATGGAACCCGGGGCCTCAGACATGCTAGGCCTGTGGTCCATCCTGAGCTACATCTTAGCTCTCTCTGTTAAGATGGCCATTTGGCCTCGCCCACGTGATTCGACTCAGAAACCAAGAGCCATGCTCCCACACCAGCCCGCCACTTCCCACGGCCCAGGCCCTGCCTGCTGTCACAAGCTACTTGACCACAGCACTTGTCAGCAAGCTCTTTATTTACTTCCTGTTCCCCACCTGTGTCCTTGGTGGTGGGGCAGCCAGGATATGAGGGAGTCATGCACTTTGAGGGGCTCTGCGGAGACCCCGAGTGCAGAAGCTCCAGAGCCCAATGGTTACCTCCCCAGCTCTGAGTAGAGAAGCATTCTGGGTGCTCTCCCTCCATCGTGGACTGACATCATCCAGTTAATGTCTAAAGGTGGCTGGTTGGCATTTGGACCTAACACTGAACCTCTAGATAAGGCAAGCTGTCCATTCTGTCCTGCTCTGCACAATGCTCATGGGCTACCACTGCCAGAGAGCATCCTGAGGATGGCTGGCTGGCTGGCTCCATTCTCACATCAGCTGGACTCAGGGCCTCTGGACGGCCTTCACTTTGGGACAATAACTGTCTTCTCTGGAGACCAAAGAACCAGCGCCATGTCTGTGGGTCTGTGGCTCTCTCTGGTATCCTCATACCCAAGGGTGTCCTCATACCCACTGAGCCACTGGGCTGACAGACATGGGGATGACTCTATGCCATCTCTCGTCTACTAGCATCTGAATGGTTATGTACAGATATAATAAATGTCAACTCTTAGGCAACACACTCCAAAGCATGATGGACACTCTGGTCATGTGGTTGGTGGCAGAGGTTCAGCCCGGCATGGTTCCTGCCAAGCTTGGCACACTCAAAACCACAGCAGCAGCATGTGTGAGGCCTGGCTTGGCAGTAGGCTTCTGGAGGCAGTGAGCTGAGTGGATCCCTGTTCTGCGGCTGACCTGAGAGCCCTCACTGGTCTTCAGCTCTGTAGGAAGCTGTGGTTAAAGAAAAGGCCCTGGTCACAACCACCGGGGCTTGCTAGACTTTGGGTGACAGCGATAATGACGGATTTCCTGGGCCTTGACCTATGCACCACCCTGCCGGTTGTCTGGCAGCTCATAATGAACCCAACTGGGTGTGCGGGCTGCAGGTGGCCTCTTGCTTCGGGACAGTGAAGGGTCCTAAGAACCCCAGCATCGGAGGTCAAGCTGTCTGGCTCAATGGCTTCTGGTTTGTGGTGTTCCGTTTTTTTTTGTTTGTGTTTGTTTGTTTGTTCTCACAGCTACGTAAGTTTGAGATGATTACATTTAGACAAACAGCCATTTGGTTACTCTATTCCAGAACACGGAGAAGACATCAGGTAGCAAAGTGACACAGACTGGAGGGGCACAGAGTCTCTGGTCACAGCCAAAGGGACAGACACACTGGTAGGCCAGAAGTCCCAGCAAATAACCAGAAGGGGAGAGAAACCTAGGAAGTCCCCAGTAACCAAAAGAATGATGCCCCACAGTGGCAGGAAGCCATTTCCGCTTCCAGCATGGATCAGGGCATGGTCAGGGTGGGCTGCCCCCCACAGTCCACCCAGGCTCCCACTCAGCCCGGCTCCGGCCCAGGCAAACGTCCTCATCGTCCTGGGGCAAAGATGAAATCCAGGGCCTGCCGTTCAGCAGCTGCCACGTTGGGGTGCCAGAGGTCCACCATGAAAACCACCCGTGGGCCGTCCTCAGCAGAACCTGGAGAGGAGCATAAGGGGTCAGATTAGCCCTGGCACAACTCAGTGTGGCCTGAGCTGTTGTCCCAACCCACAGAATGTCCGACACTGGGTGTGAACCTGAATGTGACGATGGCCTTTAGGTCATGACGACTGAAGTTGGCTTGTCACCTGTAATACCAGCTGGAGAGATTGTCCATGGGAAGATGATGTGGTTGGGGGCGGGGGCGGGGGCGCTTAGGACTTTCTGGTCAGTTTTGCCCAGTACTCTAAAAGTTTTCCTTACAAAGTCTAACAACCATGAAGCAAACGGGTGGGCAAGCTCTGGGAGAGGCAACGCCTACCTTCATGGAACGCAGTGTGCAGGAAGGAGTCGTCAAAGAGCAGACATCGGCCTTCCGCCCAGCACTGGGGCTCGCCCCCCACCACCAGCTCGCAGCCGTTGGGAGTCTTCAGACCTGGGGAGAAAACACGGGACTGAGAGTGGAGGCAGCCAGGTTTCAAGCCTGCTAGACGGTGGAGCTGAGCTGCTCTGGCTAATGCTCAAAAGCTCAGGTCTACCCTGGAGTCCACACTGTGGGCTGCCTGTGACCCTTAATTCAGAGGCTGAGACCACCCCGAGATGACGGTGTTAGGGGTCCTTGGGGATTAGGCTATGAATGGGGTCTACAGTTATGAAATGGACCCTTCTACCACGTGAGGTCACAGCCACAGGGTGCCATGAGTTCGCTGTGCTGGTGAGTCTTACATCAACTCAACACACAAACTGGAGTTATCTGAAAGGAGGGAACCTCAATTGAGAAGATGCCACCATAAGATCCAGTTGTAGAACATTTTCTTAATTAGTGATTGATGGGGGGGGGGGGCCCAGCCCATTGTGGGTGTGGCCATCCGTGGGCTGGTGGTCCTGAGTGCTGTAAGAAAAGAGGCTGAGCAGCACCCTCCATGGCCCCCGCATCAGTTCCTGCCTCCAGGTTCCTGTCCTGCTTGAGTTCCTGTCCTGACTTCCTCCACTGATGGACAACAATGTGGATGTGTAAGCCAAATAAACCAAGATGCTCTGGGTCATGGTGTTTCATCAAAGGAATGGCAACCCTCACTGAGATACCCACCCAGCAACCACAGCAGCCTGACAGAGCTCCACGCTGGACCTTCAGCCGCAGAACGGTGAGCAGCACACCCCTGGGCTCTTGTTTTGCTTGTTCAGACAGGGTCTCTCACTGTGTTGTCCAGGCTGACCTTGAACCCTGCATCCTCATACCTCGGCCTCCTGAGTACAGGCACCACCGACCAGCCGTTTCTGTTTTAATTTAAAACTTTGTATTCCTGTTGTGTGTACCTGACGACACACATGAGTGAGCATGAAAGGTGGTTCTGTCCTTCCACTGTGGGCTCTAGGGATCAGGCATGTAGGGCATGATGTGCCTTCACCCACCAAGCACATCTCCCCACCCCCTTTTTGGTCTCTGAAAGCCACCCAGCATGTGGCTGGCACTCAGAGCCCAGTAGATAGGTCAGTCTTTCTAGGGACAGGGGGATTAGTGAGGCAGCGCTGGCTGCCACGTAAGTTGTCAGCAGAATTCCTCCTTTGCCGGCTTCATCTGATCTGGGTCCTAGACTCTTTTGTTTAGGTTAAGAGCCTGAGAGTCTCCTTACCTCGGGAACTACTGATGATTAGTCCTGGGACCCATGGGAATCCAGGGACGCTGAGTTCAAACAGGCTTCATCCACACACTTCAGCCACCCTACAGCAGGACCTCTTCAAAGGACAATTTCCTGCGGCACCCTGGGGGCCATCCAAGACCCGTTATTTCCCGAAAATTACTAGCTGGCCTCGGAAGGGAACAGCCACTTCGGCAGAGTGTGTACTTTCTACACTCGAGTGTACATACAGCATATATGGTATGTGCTCATCAGACATTAACACAGGAGTCCACGCTTGGATGTCCTTCTCCCAGCCTGCCCACTCAACACACCCGGCTCCTACCACATCAGTCTCCAAGGCTTTCCCCTCCTCTGCATCCCAAAGCTTTTGAACAGCACAGTAGCTGAGGACACAGTTCAGCAGTTCGGCGCTTGCCCAGCATGCATCGTTCTTGGGTTCACCCCACTACCGTTTAAATCAAAAGCTCCCACAAAGCAACACCTTTCAAAAGAAAAACTGCACTCCCATTGCCAAAAGGCTCGAGCCCCAGCCTGGCCCCGCTCTATGGTTTGCTGCCGCCTGGGCTCTCCTACCTCAGCCTCCCAGCTGTTTGCATCCTCCCATGATGGATCCTCGCCAAAGGTTTATTAACCAAAGCCACTGTGTGGATCAAAGGCTACCCGGTAGTAGTGATGGCCTCTGCCTGCCAAGAACTTCACATGCACAAACTACTTCTGCTCCTCAAACAGCCCTGAAGGCAGAGTTGAGCACCCCTGTTCCAGAGAACAGCTTGGCTTCCAGGGCCTGATAATGGAAGATGAGTGAGGACCTAAGCCAAATGTGCTGCCTCCAGAGCCCTGTGGTCCACTGTTTCCCAGGGCAGAGGCTGTGCCTTCCAGAGTCATGAGAGCCACTGCCACACTCAAGAGAAGACTGCCAGGCGCTGCGCCAAACGGCCACTTAGTGAGTTGTGTCCCCAAACTTCTCCCAGCACTGCTGCTGAGTGCCCATTTTGCAGAGAGGCGGCGAGGTCTAGGGAGACTCAGGCTCTGTCCAGCCCCACAGCTGCCCATGGACCCAGACTCCCCACTTCCTGCCGGCCTCTTGTCCTGCCGGCCTGCCAAGTCCCTCCACAGCAGCCCTCTGACGGTGTCACTCCTTCTCAGCACTGGCATCTTCAGTCCAACCCGTACCTTACTCAGAATCCTCACCCAGAGAGCTGAGGGAGCAGAGCTGCTGGGGTAAGAGGGGGCGGGAGACCTAGCAACTGACATAGGCTCCCTGCAAAGCACACTAGGGAACCCCTCCACAGCCCGCACAGGGCGCTCATCCTCTGCTTTCCTTCTCTCCTGAAGTCAGCCAGCACCGCTGCTTACCGCTATTGCCCAGCTCGGCACACGCTAGCATGCTCACCAGCAGGGCCACGGCCTCTGTCACCAGCCTTTTGTCACCATTTGCCAGGAGGAAGAGGCCACAGAGCTGTGAATCTGACTCCATGCACCACACTCTGCCCTTAGCTCTGGTAAGCACTGAGACACACCTCGTGTTATCAGATCCCCAAAGGAGAACCATGGCCTCACTTTCTAAGGAGGAAGCTCTGAGGAGGGAAGCAACTTGCCCAACACAGCCCAGCTAGCTCACCAGCTGGGCCAGATGCAAATGCAGCTCAGCTTGGGACCCAATTTGCACGCCACACATACACAATGTGCAAGATTCCTAGAATTTGAATAAAGTGACCAGAATACTGGGCACCATTTATCCACGGAAAGTTTAGCATCTCTCACAGCCTCCTTGGGCATCTTCCGTGACACCCCCACCCCCTGGCCCATGAGGTCTGTCACCACAGACTAGCCACCAGCCATACCTGGATACACAAACTCAAGCCAGTGAGAGCTTTAGGCCAGCTGTCCCACTGACCACAGCCCAGGCCCTGGGCAGCCACACGTGGCTAGCGGCTCACGTAAGAGACAGGAAATACTAACAACGAAGCTACCATCCTCCCCTCCGAAGTTCTAGACAGAGCTGGCGGTGGTGCCAGCTACTAGGTTTAGGTTGGTGTGAGGCCCAGTGGCAGGGAGTGTGTGTGAGTGCCCGGGCTCCATCTCAAGCACCACAGGAGAATGAACCAAAGTTTGAGAGAATAAAAGGAAATGAGATTCACCTTCTGCTGTCACAGTCGTTTATAGACCACCACCAGGAAAAAACAAAAACCTTTTTCTGGGGCTGGGGCTATGGCTTAGTTTGTAAAGCTCTTGTGGTACAAACATGCAGACCTGAGTTGGAACTTGCGCAGGTGAACCGGATAGGCACTGCAGCACACACTTGCAGTCACAGGGCTGGGGAGTGGAAGACACAGAGATCGCCCTCGGCCTTGAGACCAGACGGCTTAACCTAAGCCGTGAGCCCAGGGCTTAGAGAGAGCCTAGGAAAAGTAAGCTAGAAACAAGACTCCAGCCTCAACACAGACACACATGTAGTGCAGGCTAGCCCTCCAAGCCCTGACCCTTCTGCCTCAGCCTCTCGAGTGTTTGGACTGCAAGGTGCCATTGCGCCCAGCTAAGCACTGCCGGGATTGGATCAAAGCCCCCAAGAGGCAAAGGCACCTTCTTACGTGAGGCTTCCGTGAATGTGCGTGCTGGGGCTCCGCCCCCTCCACGTACCTAGGTGGCACCGGATGCGGATGTTTGTGGGTCCGTAATGCTCCGTGATCACAGTCCCAGGACTCAGCACTGAGATGCAGGCGTTCCCGAAAACATTGTTGCCGATACAGGTCCGGAGGCTGCCAAGCAAGCGGTAAGTCCGTGGGCACTTCCGGCAGTTCCTGGGGACGCACACGCCCTGGTTCACAAAGTCAAAGGTGAACCACTCCCCGCTGGGGGTGCTGTTCACCTTCCAGCCCTGCGGGAGGCTGCAGTTAGAGAAGGCCTTGTAGAGCGTCTCGAACTCGCAGAGGATGGCCTGGAAGTTCCGCTCCAACAGCTCCACGTCGTGCTTCTGGGCGTCCCGGGAGAAGTAGGGTGATGTGGGGAGGTCAGGCAGGAAGAAGACCTCGGGCTTCTGGATGGAGGGCTGGCTGCTGAGGTAACGGCCCTGCTCCCGGATGCCCTTGTGGATGCGGCCCATGCCGGACCAGGAGTACCGCTTGGCGTATTCCTGCAGGTTGTGGTAGAGCTTCTGGTTGAGGCCGTCGTGGTGCGTGCAGTGTACACACTCGGGCGACTGGCAGTACATGGACCCATTCTGCAGTCCGTTGGCATCGACGCCCTGCAGGAGGGAGTTGACGGACACATGGGGTCGGGGCTGCTCTCTGCCCACATGGTAACAGTACCAGAGAAACAGGACCAGCAGGCAGGCCACAGTGACCACGGCTGTGCTGTCGCAGTCCCGCACGGACTGGATGCCAGTGGCAATGCAGTCCCTCAGGCCATCCAGAGACCAGCTCCAGGTTACCAGCCACTCCAGCCACATCTTGGTGGAGTCAGTACTCGGAGTGAATGAAGCCGGCTCAGATGATCAGTCCTCTTGGGGTCCCTGGGGCACCCCCAGCGTGCAGGTTAACAGGCAGACGGTGTGGCTGGAGCAGGGGGAGGCATGGCTGCCACTGTCCCTCAGTTCCTGCCCAGGGCTCCATTGATGAACAGTGAGGCCTGCCAACTGGGCCCACTAGTGAAAGTCACTGCAGTGGGGTAGAGGGCGCTGCCTTATGTCCCGTTAACAAATGCTGTCAGTCACCGTGCAAGGCTTTTCATGATGTCCATACCTGGATGGAAACAGAAAACAGCAACATGAAAGTTATGACTAGAAAAGTCCTGAATAGCAAGAGTCTCAGGAGGCTGGAAATACATCATTAAAACAGCACCGACGCCTCCCCGCTTCCCTTCTCAAGCACGATGTAAGTCAGGCTATCACCACACCGGAGAAGCAAGTGGGTGCCCTCGAGTGACTGTTGCGGCAGACACATGGCTCCTTGTGCCACTCAGCTGCGAGGTGACCTAGTGGCCTCGCCCACAGGCTTATGAAAGGGAAAGCAGCACCCTTCTCAGTCCCTGACTCAGTTTCCCACCCGGACAGCAGGACACTCCCTTGCTGGACATCCTGCTTGGGGGAGGTGGAGCCCCCAAATCACTGCCAAACACGATGCAAGCCCGACTGTGCCTCTCAGGTCTCTAGAACCTAGAATGCCCCCCAAGGGGAACCCAGAGTGTCCCCCAGTTTCTCTGCAACGCTCTGTCCACCCTTCCTTCTCCAAGGCGGTACAAACAGCCAGGTGTGTGTTCTCCTGAAAGCACCTCCATCAGGAGCACGGCTGGGAGCATTTCAGTGCTCCTCCCTCCTCCCCTTGGGGCAAATGGGGGACAGTGACAGCACAACTGTGTCCCACCGCCTGGACCAGCTAGGCCTGGGAAGTCTGCAGCGCAGCAGAGAAGTCACACACATAAATTAGACATAGGTTAGACCTGCCTTTTGCAAGGCACTGCCCTTCTCTAAGCCTTCTCTGTTTTCATCCTCAGCTGGCTGGGGATGATGATGTCATCGTAAACCCTCGATGTGTGATCAACAGGCAAACCAAAGATGGAAACTACCCCAAGGCTCCCGTCCCAGACAGGAGGCAAAGGCCGAAGCAACCTGACTTGGGTGATGTCCATTCCCAGACTCAAGGAAAACCTTTGGTGCTCACTCAGGACCCACTGGCATCATCCAGGTGTCAGCTGAATAAAGATTGGCTATAATGTTTCGGAAGTCAAAAACACACATGCTGAATATTCATGGGGACTCTTAGGCTTCTAGGAAAAGTACAGGAATGTGGAGAGGAGAAGCCAGTTTCTTCTCAAGATGCTGAGCCGGGTGTTAAGCTCACCACCCGCCCCTCCTCCATGGGTAATGCCATCCACCCTGGCTGTTTCCTCTTTAGGAAAAGCCCCAGAAAGGTGTCTTCTTTGCACTTCTCTTCAAGACAGCCTAGGGTTCCCGAGATTCTGTGTGAGACTCTCACCCGGTGTTCACAGACTCTTCGAGCAAACACATTCCTTCCCTAACTGCAACTCCAAAGCTGCCTTCAGCAGCCAGGCTTCCTCAGATGCCCCGAGACTGAGTTTGTGGTAGTACCTGACTGGAGAAAATAAGTTCCCACCAACCTGCTTAATGCCAACAGCGCGCGCACGCGCACGCGCGCGCGCGCACACACACACACACACACACACATACACACATGCTGCTCACACACCTGGGTGGGTGACTAGAAGAGCTCTCGGTGGCTGGGCTCCCTCAGAACACCCTCACTTCGGACCACACTGACTAGAGCCTCCCCTGAGACAGAGCAATAAACAGTTCCACAAGGACAGACCTGAACCCCTTCACAAAACCAAACCCAGCACTAAGAGGGGCACAAGAGCTGATCTGTGACAAGAAAGCAAACTGTGGCTTTGGTAGAGCGAGTAGCAGCAGGAGGGTGGATGGGTGCACACTGCTGGCTCTCTTCACACATCTGTTCCCGTCAGGGATGGGCATCATGCAGCCCTGCACCTCAGATCTCAGAGACCAGCAGGCTCTGGGGAATAAAGGCCAAATTCACGTCCAAACAAAGGTAAGTTCTGACATGAGAAATGCCTGGGGAGACAGTCTCCACTTGACCCAGTTAACCCGGATCAGATGACCAGCTCAGGAGGCTTTCTGATGCTAACGAGCTCGGGTCACCCTGAGGTGAAGCCAGGCGACCCTCAAGCCCCCCTACCCCAAGGTACAGCACAACATAGGGGAGGTTGTGTTGCTTGCTATTCGCTCTAGCAGGGAGCCAGAGAACTGTCCTGAGACAAGCCCTCCCCTCGAGGGATCTTCCTCACGGTCTCCAGTGTCACAGGGCCTGGATGGAGTACGAAAGGAGAGAGGCCAGAAAGATGCGTTACCGCAGGTGGTGATGCCCATAGTCAGGGGAGGAGATGGTGAGGTGAGGGCTACCTGGAAAAGTAGGAAGGAGGTGTAGGGCGCGTGACAATTCATGGGACAGGGAGGTGGGTTAAAGTGGGTGATGTTGAGGAGGAATGGGGGACCAGGGAAAAAGGCGATGGAGGAGGTTGGAAAGAGGAGAAGGAGAGAAAGTGGGGGTGATGCTGCGCTGCGCGATCCAGCCCGAGAGGCACTCGGCACGCAGCCGGTGCTAGGCGACCGCGGGCCCTGGGCCGGCCCGGGATGCAGGCGCGGGCGCCCCGAGCATCGTCCTCCGCAGCCCCTCAGCCCCGGCGACGCTGCTTACCTGCGCGCGCGGCTGCGGGGACCCGGGCGACGCCACTGCCCCAGGGTCGGAGCCGCCCCCTGCCGCGCCCGCAGCCGCCGCCCGGCCGGAGCCGCGAGCCCCGCCGAGCTGGTGCCGCCCGCGCTGCGCTCCGCGGCCTCGAGGACCACAACTCCCACAATGCCGCGCGCGCCTGGCGGCGGGGAGGGGGCGGCGGGGCGGGACCCCCCGGCGCGTGCACCTGCCGCGCGTGTCCGAAGGGGAGGGGGCCCCGCGCGTCCCGCCTCACCGCGCGCCGGGTGCGTGCATCAGATTCAGGGTGTTCGTGTTTGAATCGCCCTGGGTCCTGCTCTGCCCTCCCTCCCACCCTCCCTCCCGCATCCCCTCCCCTCGGTGTCCTTCCCCTCGCCCCTCTTGCCTGTGATGGATCCCACACACACTTCTGAGGCCCCGCGGACACGTGGGATGAAATTGCAAAAGGAACAGCCTGGAGGATCCGGGGCTCCGTGCCCCGCCTGGGCGCTGCCCACTGGAGCTGTTGCAGACCTGGCGCCTGCCCACAGGGAGGCCCAGTCTAGTCAGCAGCGCCCAGTTCAGCCCAGCTCACAGGAGACAGGAGGGACACCGCTCTGTGAGCGCCCAGGGAAGCGTGGGCTCCGAGGAACAGTGCATGGGTGTTTTGGGAGCGTGGGGTGGGATGCCAGCCCACAGCCCATCTGTGTCTGTCCTCGAACCTACTGCTTCCAAATCCCAGCATGCATCTCTGTCATGGCCTAGAATCTTCATTTTTCTTCAGGATCCGCCTGTCCCAGAACTCCCTGGCCCTTCACCCAGGCTTGCCCTTCAACTGTTAGTGGCTGAGAACCCACCTCCCTCACCCAGGACCCATTACCTGGACAGAGCCCACTCTGTCACTTAAGCCCTTGTCACACCTCCAGAAATAGAATAACAGCATTTCCCCTACTTTTTCTTTTAATACAATAACCCAAAATGCATTCATTGATTTACTAGGTTCTTTTGTAGGACTGCCACCAAACACCTGACAGAAACCTCTTGTGGAGGAAAGGCTCATCTGGGCTGATGGGTCAAAGGTTTTCAGTACGTCATGGAAGAAAAGGTGTGGAGGAATGGTGGACATGGAAGTACATGATCTAGGCTCAGTAAACTGGAGCGAAAACAAAAACAAAACAAACTCCAGGGCCAGCCAGTCCTTCAAAGCGTACCTCTACTGCCTACTGCCTGCAGCCAGCAGCCAGACTCTCCTCCTTTAGGCTCCAGGGCCTTCCCAAACGGTGCCATAGGCTGAGAACAAGCTGTCAAACCATGAGTATGACTTAGATTGGAACATTCACAATGAGAGCCTGTAAAGTGGACTGAGGGCAGGTGTGGGCTAGAGTGGGCTGCCCCGGAAGCTGGTCCTTCTCAGCCCGAGTAACGGGGCCGAGTGGCCAGAGAAAAAACAGGGCTTGTGTCCTGCTTCCCATTTAGAAAGTTGCCCAGATCTAACCTGGCTCGAGGTACTTCATGCATAGAGAGCACTAATTCTTCATATGGTCGTCTGTATGTGTTCCTTTCCCGGACTACACCGTCTGCAGTGCATCATGAATTAATATTGTCTATGAACCTTGTAATTTTCTGTGACCAGGGTGATTACAGGGCTCCGAGTTTGTTAAGCATATTTATTTGTTTGGTGGCCAGATTCCAGACATGCTTCTGCTAACTTTTCTGGCCATTTCATCTTTTTTTTAATTGGCTGAGAGTCTCAGAAAATGAAAATGACCTCCCATTCTCTGTCAAGCTCCAGTGGCCTTAGGTGAATTCTGCCAGAAAAAGGTATCCATGACTTGCAAAGGGAACTCTGGGGGTGAGGACTGTGGACACACTGCCGCTGAGCTAGTGGAAGGGCTGGGACTAAGTGCGTCTAAATTGCCTGCCTTCAGCTCGGCTGTGGTGTGTTCTCCTCCCTCCTGTCTTGGCGAGGGCAGTCACTGCAGCCCATTCTACACTGCACAGCCCATCATTAAACCACCGCAGGAGCTTGTGCCCCCCCCCCAGCTCTTTGCTTCTGCAGCTGCAGCGTCTGTATGCTTGGGGGTGGCTTGCTTGAGGACATATCTCACTCAGTCAAGGTCACAGTGACCCAACAAGGAGTGTGTGTTAAAGGGAACTGGCATGGCTACTGTGGAATGTGACTGGGAGTGTCATCTGCCAAAACGACAAGTTAGGTTAAGAACCAACAGCTTAGCTTGGTTCTTAGCTTAGCTTCCAGGTGTAGGGACACACACCTAGAACCCCAGGATTTAAGGGGTTAAGGCAAAGGGATGGGAATTCTAGGCCAGCCCAGGGCTCTATAGCAAGGCCCTGTCTCAAAACACAACACAAAAGAAAACAAACAGCCAATAACGTCACTGTGCAACAGTTGTGCTTTCATGAGGCAACACAATAAGGGTTTGAGAAGGAGGGGGGGAGTCATGGGTGACCTTGAAGGTTATGTTCTACAGCAAAGAAAATACAATTACATTATGGTATCATTTTACCCTCTGTGTGGGTTTGCATGAGAATGCCCCCCCACCCCCATAGGCTCATGTTTGAATACTGGTCCACAGCTGGTGGAACTGTTTAGGAAGGATTAGGAGGTGTGGCCTTGATGAAGGAGGTGTACTATTAGGAATGGGCTTTGAGGTTTCAAAAGCCCAGGCCCAGTTACAGTCAGTGTTTTTTTTTTTTTTCTCTCTCTCTCCCCCGCTTTCTCACTGCTGCCATGCTCCGAGCCATGATGGTTATGGGCTCACCCTCTGGAACTGTGATCCCATCCCAACGAACTCTTCTGTAAGTTGCCTTCTTAATTATAGGGAAGCACCTAAGACACCTGCTTGCATGCACACATGGGTCTATGTGTATCCCTGAGAAGCAGTGGGGGAACACGTGTAATCTCTTACATGAGATGCTCTGTGTTCACACATGCAGAAGATATCCCTCAGAGGAGCCAGTTTTAAGCCACAGGATTTTTAAGTTCATGGAAAGTTAAGAAAAGAAAAGGGACTGGGATGGAGGGCAGAGGGAGGGCCCGCATTTCCCACTGTGTCTAATTTGACTCTCTCTTACATACAGGTTTGCTGTGTAGCCCCAGCTACAGCTCAGGCTGTCAAGGCTTGGTGGCATGTGCCCTAATGTACTGAGCCACATCATCTCTCCTACTGACAGTTTAAAAACTACCCTGTGATCATCTTAAATACCCAGAAAACAATGTTGGCAAAATTCAACCCCTAAGAACGCAGAGCAAAGCAGGAGCGGGAGAGAATGACAGTGGTATGTCTGGCAGTGTCGTGAGTGCTGCATGCCTGTGTGTGTGCGCCCGCACTCTCTCCACATGTGTGAAGAGAGACCCTGGTCCCAGGATATGGTACTTTTCAATAGTGGCTGAAGTTAGTTTAACACCCTTTGCTCTGGTTACATTTTCAGAATAGTATTTATGTTCAAGAATGTTCCTTGCATTTTCTTTAATGTAGAAAAAAAATTAATGCAGTGAGCTTTCATGGAGAGAAAAACCAAAATCTGCGAAGAGGAAAAATGTTGGCACAAACCAGAGACAAAAATCCATCAGCCTAGAAAGATCTTCCAAGCGTAATGTCTGTGACTGCAGAAGGCTGAGGCAGGAGGATTGCCACAGGTTTGAGACCAGCCTGTAACACATAGTTGAATTAGAACAAATTCCACATTGATGTGTAGTATAGTACAAAGTATAAAAACATACGCTAATATGTATCAGTAACAAAGGTATTGTGTGAGGCCAGTCAGTACAAATTGAGGTTGGTAGTTACTGCTGAGCAATAAGACAGGCAGAGGGAACACATTTGGAGCACAGGCGCTGTGGAGAAGGCTCAGCCAGTAGGTGTGCCTGCTGTACGGGCACGATCTGATTCCACATCCCCAGAACTCACAGAGGACTGAGGCGTGGCTGTAAGCAAGCCTGTAAACTCAACGTCAGGGGCAGAGACAAGGGGTTTGCTGGGGCCCTCTGCCGTCAGCCAAGCTCCAACTTCAGGGAGACACCCAGAAAGCGATAGAGCAGGGCGCTCCTGGGGCCTTCATGATGTGCACACACACACACACACATTTGTACAGATATCACGCACGCATGTATACGCATCCATGCATGCACACTCACTTTAAATACCAAGGCCAAGACAGGAGAGATGGCTCAGTGCTTAGAAGCACTGGCTGCTCATGTGGAGGACCTGGGTTCGATTCCCAACACCCTCATGGCAGCTCACAACTATTTGTAACTTCAGTTCCAGGCAGGGGATCTGATGCCCACTTTTGACCTCCACAGGTACCAGGCATGCATGTGGTATACATATATACATGCACACAGGCAAATATTCATACACATAAATACATAAAATTAACATTAAAAAATACCAAATCTATGAAACAAAACATTAAGATGAAGTTGATCCATGACATTGTAGTTTGTTTGATTTGTTCCTCTGAATGATTCAAGTGTCAGAAATGATGAGGCATCAGTATGAGTAGGGAAAGTGAGCTTTTGAAAGTTTGGGTTGTCTGATGTGACATGAGTGATTCGAAGCACAAGAACGGCCATTTTCGTGTGGTTCAACTTGGTGTTAGTGGTACTATTTTTGGGTGTTCTACTGAATTCCTCTGGGCAGCTGCTTCCTGTCGGTTTTATTTACTATCGTGTGTGTGTGTGTGTGTGTGTGTGTGTTAGTCAATGTTACCACCAACTTGACAGGATTTGGAGTCTCCTAGGAGACACAGCTAGGCAACTCTGTGAGGGTGTTTTCAGATATAACTGAGGAAGGAACAGCCACCTTCATTATGGGCAGCACGGGCCCATGGAAGGGGGATCCAGGCTGAATAAAAAGGAAAGTTAGGAAAAATAGCGCTCAACACCAGCACTTCTGATCTCAGGAGCCGCATGACTGGCCACCTCGGGCTCCTGGCATGTGGTGGATCACAGTCCCTGAAGTAGATATTTGCTCACAAGGATGAGAGAAGTAAACTGATACGGGAGGTGAGTTAGGGGAGCGGAACCTGCACACTCTGGGAATTGC